ATAGTGATAGTTTAAGTCACTGCATTATAAATGGCTTCTAATTAATTTGATAATCTCACAATTATCTTTCAATTTTCATTATTTTTTATTTACATTGTTAAACATTTTATTTACACAATTTCATATTCTATTTGCATGATTTAACATTCTATTTACACAATTTTATATTCTATTTACAAGATTTAACATTATATTTACATAACTTTATATTCTATTTACATGATTCCACAATATATTTACACAATTATATAGCCATCTCATAGGAATACCCAGCTGGCCTGGATTGAAAACAGTACCAGTTCTCAGAAACTGAAATAATGTTGCATATTAAATGCCACAATGGCTCAGAGAGAACAGCAATTAAGGTTACAGTTCTTGGAAAAGGCAGGGAAGGATAAGCACAACAGTGACCACAGGATATTAAAGAAATCATTGGCATGAAAGTCTACAATGCAGGAAAGTTGGCAAAGGAAAAGGTGGCATTCTGACATTTTATAATGACAGCAACAAAGGACCTGCTACATGATAATGATGACAGCTGTCTCATACATTAAATGCAGTTTAAAGGAAAAACATCCACTTCCTAATTCAAAACTGTGTTTGATTCCCAGCACTAGCAATCAATGGGTTTGATTCCCAGCACTAGCAATCAATGGGTTTGATTCCCAGCACTAGCAATCAATGTGTTTGATTCCCAGCACTAGCAATCAATGGGTTTGATTCCCAGCACTAGCAATCAATGGGTTTGATTCCCAGCACTAGCAATCAATGGGTTTGATTCCCAGCACTAGCAATCAATGGGTTTGATTCCCAGCACTAGCAATCAATGGGTTTGATTCCCAGCACTAGCAATCAATGGGTTTGATTCCCAGCACTAGCAATCAATGGGTTTGATTCCCAGCACTAGCAATCAATGGGTTTGATTCCCAGCACTAGCAATCAATGGGTTTGATTCCCAGCACTAGCAATCAATGGGTTTGATTCCCAGCACTAGCAATCAATGTGTTTGATTCCCAGCACTAGCAATCAATGGGTTTGATTCCCAGCACTAGCAATCAATGGGTTTGATTCCCAGCACTAGCAATCAATGGGTTTGATTCCCAGCACTAGCAATCAATGGGTTTGATTCCCAGCACTAGCAATCAATGGGTTTGATTCCCAGCACTAGCAATCAATGGGTTTGATTCCCAGCACTAGCAATCAATGGGTTTGATTCCCAGCACTAGCAATCATTGTGTTTGATTCCCAGCACTAGCAATCATTGTGTTTGATTCCTAGCACTAGCAATCAATGGGTTTGATTCCCAGCACTAGCAATCAATGGGTTTGATTCCCAGCACTAGCAATCAATGGGTTTGATTCCCAGCACTAGCAATCAATGTGTTTGATTCCTAGCACTAGCAATCATTGGGTTTGATTCCTAGCACTAGCAATAAACTTTGATGGAAATTCTCTCAAAGCCTATGATTCTAAATGATGTTACACTCCTGTCTGACCTCCTGAATAGTAAGAACAGATGCCTAGCCATCTCAGAGAAAGCCACACACATACACACACACAAAAGTTGCAGTTTGCCTTAAAAATCTCTTTACTTGAAAATCATACTGAATAGACCAAACAACCATACTCAGAGACAAAATCTAAAATAGACAAACCCACTCATTACAAAAACAAAATGCAGGCAATGTGTGAATACGGACTGCATATATACTATATTAGTGGCTGTGCTCAGCACGTTGTGTGTCGCAGTGGTGTCCTTTTCTGGTTTACGGGTAAAACACTTGCAGCATCAACAGATTTATTCATATGAAATTTCCATCTGGACATTAGGTAGGAATATGTTGAAAACAAAATATGTCAAACATATGCAGGGAAGCATTACCAATATAGGCTTAATCCCAACCAGTTAATATGTACTGTGCTGAAACATGACTGGTTGATATGTCTCCCTAGAGTTGCAAAGGTCCAGTATAGGTTTTTTCCCACTTCACTGGATTCTGGGATTGTTCACCAACAGTCCCTATGTATAAGCTGCTCTGGTAGGGGTCCGGAGAAAGGTCTCCACTAACCTCACTCCGGCAGCTGCACACCAACGTCAGGCCCAGACAACTACTACAACAACAATTTGGACTTCACAGTATAAAATTCTGTTGACAGAGGATTTACATTCAACCAAACAACCAATCAAGCACATGAAATGAAGGTGGTCCTGGGTGGTCACCTAAAGAAAAAGACTGTCATAAAAAAGTGATAATACCCAAATGTGGGCAATTGTGTCTTGCTTTTCTTGTGTGAGTTATGGTGACCGGATCAAGTTTCTCAGTTCCTTGATCACATCCACAACCTCACACGGTTTTGGCCACGGTGATCAATTAAAAAGTATTGATAGCAAACTGTGAGTATTAAGTTTTAGGCTTTCACAAATTTTAGGCCTTCGCATAATGAAGATGCATCTGCAATAATTATAACAGCACAAATCACCATGCTTTAAGCACAACTGCAGACCGGATAAAGTAGTAGCCGAAGGAATGGTACGTGGAATGAAGGACAGAGGTTGACCAGCATAAACTTGGGCACAGGATTAAGCAACACCCCCCCCCCCCAAACCAATCATCTAAAAAGTGCTATTTTGTCATGAAATATATACCTAGCACCACTTCCACCAATGGCAGGAAAAAAGAGTTCCATTGCAATTTTATCTTTTTCTTCTTAGTCCAGGCTGTGTGGCATTGGTAGTCATGTTTATCCACATCCATCTGTCTCATGTACTTGAGTTCTGATACTGATGACTTTCCCTGCCATGATGTCAAACTTCCCAGCATCTTCACTCTCACTGAAACTGTCCTTGGGCATGTATGCTGTATGAAACATCTACTGCAGTATCAGTCACGAGGTTAATCTCACATTTTGAATATTCATATACTTCTCTGTACATAAAATATTATATACATATTCACAGGCTCATCATCATCATCATCAGGTATTTCACCCCTTGCGCTGGTCATGTAGCTTACTGATCACCCCATCCCAAAGTCATCTATCTTGCGGTGCTCTCTCCAATTCTATACTTCTCTTCTTCGACAGATCTGTGCTTGTCTTTTTTATAGATATTGTCTTTGTCTACCATTCCTCTTTTCTCCAGTACGCAGGCCTCTAGAACTGTCTTTGATATTTCATCAAATCTTTGGGTGTGATCAGGCCATTTTTATATTTTGGTAAGATTAATAAATTTTCTTTGTTCTGTTTTCCAGAACTTAGTTTTTTTTTAATCCAGTGATTCTTTTCATACGAATGCTAGGAATAAAGCCAGTCTTACAGGTCATCAAAGAACAACAAATCAAGTTGTTTAGACACCTAACAAGAATGCCCTGGTACTATCTGCCACAGCGAGCCATACTAAAACGTTACAATGGGTATAGAGCGAGTGGAAGACCTCGGAAAAGATGGAGTGATGGCATTAAGAACAGCCTTACAGAAATGAACATCAGTCTTAATAGTGCACTTGACAGAGTCCATCAACGAACATTACACTTCGATGAGGTACAAGGTGGAAGAGAAGAAGAAAAAGAAAGAAGATTATTTTCATTTTATATAACACCACATTTCAAGTGCCTCTACATTTTTCACTATGTATATCTATTGTCCATACTTCATAACCATATAAAAATCTAGTCAGATGTAAAATTTATCTACGTCAACCAAGAGAAGTATGATGTACTCAATTTGCTCAATCAGACTGAATGGGAAAAAGAAATCTTCTCTTTTAATTCAGTCAGTCAATATAATCACAGAGTGCTCATTCTTTCCCACAATGTTAGACAGATTTTGGAGGAGACAACAGATGCATGGTGTCATGTGTAATCAACCATTCTTTCACTCAATGTTAAACTTGGTAGGGAGGAGAGATCAACAGATATATGGTGTAATCAATCATTCTTTCAACCAATGACAGACTGGGTAGGGAGTAGAGATCAACAGGTATAAGGTGTAATCAATCATTCTTTTACCCAATGATAGACTGGGCAGGGAGTTGAGATCAACAAGTATATGGTGTAATCGATCATTCTTTCACTCAATGTTAGACTGGATAGGGAGTAGAGATCAACTGGTATATTGTGTAATCAATCATTCTTTCACTCAATGTTAGACTGGGTAGGGAGGAGAGATCCACAGATATATGGTGTAATCAATCATTCTTTCACTCAAGTCAGATAGTCATCTTTCCTAACCCTCAATTCTCAGAAGCATAGTGTAATTAATGAACCAGTGTTACCCCTTCTTGAACACAGTGGAGAAAGGACCTTTTCACTGTTGATCCAGTTGTCTGTCAACCACTGGAAACAGGGTCTACTCAATCAGTCTTCTACTAACTGTCAGACACTATCTTCAGTTGAAGTTTCTACTTTTCTGCCATTTATGTGGTCACTGATACTGTCAAGCCATGATTCAGTAATATTTCCTTCCCACAATCAATCCCACATTTTCTAGATCCTCCTTTTGCTGGGACACTGTCATAGTTGGCATACTGTGACTGAGCTGCCGGTATCTTATCAAATAAGAAAGCCAATGTAACAGCTATCACTCTATAAATTCTAAACACACTTACCTTCACTTCAATCTACTTCTTTGCTTCACATTCCCTACACATATTCTAAACACTGTTGTTCATCTCAGTCATTTCACATCTCAGTCTATTTCACTGTTTTTCCTTGTCTATATATCCTTAACACAGTTGTTTACCACAGCCTATTTCTCTGTTTCTCCATGTCTATATATTCTGGACAAATGGTTATTCTCAGTTCAGCCTGTTTCTTTTTCCTCACTCACGTTTCTTCATGTGGCACCTGCAACTGTTCTTAGCACCTTATGTCTGGTTGCGATAATCTTTTCTCAAACTTGTGTCAGAGACCACGAATGACCATAGTAATAATGAGGTGGTATATGAAATACCACAAATAGTTCATGACAAAACTACACATACTATTTGGATAAGTACTTGTGCTAACTCGGTTGTTTCTGAGAAATTTTGTCCTCAGGTTTGGGTCGTTTCAGTGGAGAAGAGTTTTGTATGATAGCCTGAAGGAAAGGAAGAAAAAATATCAAAAATTATGAGGAACAAGGACAATAATGATACTGCTAGTGAAAATTAGTATGACAATTAAATAACTAAATAAAGTCCCCAGTAAATGTTTGCATAAGTCCCTGTAATCTGGTAATCTGGTAATTTTAATTTCAGCTTCATAGCAAACGGGTCACCCCATCCTTGCTCCGCTCCTGTGCCAGCTAAAAACACACAGAATGTTTATCACAGTCCCTTGTGGAAAGACTGAAAAACTGCTCTCTCAGCAAATCTAGCATACACTCGCATTAAAAGCATATGGTAGCCATCCGAAGTGCTAACAGAAACAGTCCAACGTTAGAAATGCAGTTCAGCATTGATGGTAGCAGAAGTCATTAAAAGATCAGCAGTTGCATATGCGATCAATTTTAATCAAATAATGGCCCCACCAATATTGCGACAACCGGCATTGAGCCATTTTCTGAATCTACAAATCACACCACCACGTTGGTCAGTTGAAAAACATTCCAAATGAAATCAGCAGCTCACAGTGTCACGCCATGCACTCAACTCAGAGGCTGGGCAACGAAACTATATACTTCAGTCTACAAATGGAGCACACACAAAACAAGGGCCACAGTCTGGAAGAAGCAAAAATTTTTGCCCCGGCTCAAAACAGTGGCAGTGCCTAGTGTCCATTTGGACCTGAAGCATTATGTGAGGGTTAATAAACGGTCACCCCAGCAGTACCCTCACTATTAGCTGGGGAAGGGATTTAGGACATTACATCCACCAGCAAGCCTCGCCCCAACAACGACCTGACTGCCTTCGTTAACGACTGTTCACCCAACAGCCATGCAGTTCTTTGGCACGAAGGAGACACCTTGAACTTGGGTTTCGGACTGCCGACTCCCTACACGAAGATATATGTGTGCTACTTGTGTCCCGTAGCCAAAATACTATCTCACTGTATTACTAAAATTCAGGACTGCCGTAGAAAGGTGCACCCAAGAGACGGTTTCAGTAAGAGATGCATACTTGTGGTAGGGTAACATTGCTTGAAAAATGTATTCTGCAAGCCATCAGGGGTTGCATTCACATTTTCTAGGTTCTAACAATAGTAATACACTAGCGATGACTAATAATAATCATTAACCGCTCAGCCAATACATACATAAATCTCGGCCTAGACAGAAAGAGAGATGGAGAGAGAGAGGGAGAGAGAGACAAGGGGGGGAGGGTCACCGCAATAGCTAATTACAGCAAATGTATAGCGTTCATTGAGTCTTCTGTTTCGATATCCAAACGTGCTTGTTGTCAACCATACATTATTTGCGTGCATCGATCAAGGCCTGAGAACAGAAAATCAAGTGCTGTGTCTCTACATTCATTTCTAGGTGGCCACGGGGTATTTTCTTATATACCAGTTTGCAGCTTTGGTACTCACTACATGCTATCCTCACATCTTTTATAGCAATTTTGTAATGCTTAGTCAACCTTAGTGAATTAGATAAAAATGGAAAGTGGAAAGGTTAAGCTCCCCTTCTCGCGCGCGCACGCATGCACGAACGCACGCACACACACACAATGTATGTGTTATGTTATGTTATCACAATAGATGTCACTGTACACTGGGCATTCTCATGCGTGCTCATTCCTCCAATGCAGCAGCCACTCCAAAGTACTTCTACTAATTCAATGCAAATTGTGTGTGTGAGTGTGTGTGTGCGCACACCTATGTGTGTGTGGGTGGACATGCGCACGTGTGCATGTTAATAAAGGCATTCTGGTAGCAAAATCCATTCTGACATTTGTGGTAAAGTCCTTGTAAAGGTGATATTTTCAACTTTCTGTTTTTATTGGTCTATTAATCTGAAGACAGCCAAGGCAACAGGTACACAAATAACTGTAACATACCTTGTTGAGCTGTTTGTCCTGAAGCTTAGCTAGTTCAGACTTATAGAAGACCATGACCTCATCACAGTCCCTGCGGACTCTGGTGCCCTCACTGTTGTACAGGTAACAGTTGGTTCTGATCAGATCCATGTCCAGCTGGAAATCTTCAAATGTGCTGTACTGTCCAGTCTGGGCATTGAAACAAAAAGCAAAGCTGAGTCCCCAGTAGTGGTTTTATGGCATGTGCGATAAATTTGTATCTACTGCTTAGCTTGGGGAGAATGTGGAACAGGTTAGTGAACATGTTCCTCTGATCATGAATCATTGCTGTACCAGGGTTTGATATAAGTAATATAAGCTTAAAAACACTTGGAGACATACCCAGGAGGAGATAGGAGCACTTATGGTCATGTGCAAGGAAGATGATCTCAAAAAATGAACAAAGGTAAATAAGTGGTGGACGGTTTAGAAAAAGACTATGATTTGTGGCTTTCTGACAGTGGTACAAACATTGCACTGTAGGAGAAGTGCATCCTTGCCCATAATATTCCCAATGAAAAGATATCAAACTAAACACAAAAGTTAGCTTCACATTATCACAAACACTAGACAGCCTTTATCAACACATTACATAAACATTCAATACAATAAAATTGTACAAGAATACCCAGAATCACTTAACTGAAGTGTCTCCAACAGAAATCACATACCTCTCTGGCTAGCTGAATCTCTGATATACATGTGACCACCGGAAAAAAAGATATATTCCCAAAGACAGCTGTGGATGCACTGCAACTAACCTTCGCTGTACATGTGATACAAAATTGTAACAAACTAGGAATGAGAATTTTTCTCTCTCTGTCCACCAATGAGAAATTTTCTCTCTCTCTGTCCATCAGTGAAAAGTTTTCTCTCTCTGTCATCCACTAATGAGAAGTTTTCTGTCTCTGTCATCCATTAATGAGAAGTTTCCTCTCTCTGACATCCACCAATGAGAAATTTTCTCTCTCTCTTTGTCCACCAATGCATGGCTGTGGGGAGAGAAAAGTCTCTACTCTTAAACCAAGTTATCTTTCCACCATGTGTACTTCATCATTCTTTAACCCACTGATAGATATAGGGTGAAATCTTGTCTCTCAGGTTAGCTACTTGTCCACCATGTGTACTTCATCATTCTTTAACCCACTGATAGATATAGGGTGAAATCTTGTCTCTCAGGTTAGCTACTTGTCCACCATGTGTACTTCATCATTCTTTAACCCACTGATAGATATAGGGTGAAATCTTGTCTCTCAGGTTAGCTACTTGTCCACCATGTGTACTTCATCATTCTTTAACCCACTGATAGATATAGGGTGAAATCTTGTCTCTCAGGTTAGCTACTTGTCCACCATGTGTACTTCATCATTCTTTAACCCACTGATAGATATAGGGTGAAATCTTGTCTCTCAGGTTAGCTACTTGTCCACCATGTGTACTTCATCATTCTTTAACCCACTGATAGATATAGGGTGAAATCTTGTCTCTCAGGTTAGCTACTTGTCCACCATGTGTACTTCATCATTCTTTAACCCACTGATAGATATAGGGTGAAATCTTGTCTCTCAGGTTAGCTACTTGTCTACCATGTGTACTTCATCATTCTTTAACCCACTGATAGATATAGGGTGAAATCTTGTCTCTCAGGTTAGCTACTTGTCCACCATGTGTACTTCATCATTCTTTAACCCACTGATAGATAAAGGGTGAAATCTTGTCTCTCAGGTTAGCTACTTGTCCACCATGTGTACTTCATCATTCTTTAACCCACTGATAGATATAGGGTGAAATCTTGTCTCTCAGGTTAGCTACTTGTCCACCATGTGTACTTCATCATTCTTTAACCCACTAATAGATATAGTATACCCAGGCTCAAAAAGTGGTTCCAGAGATTTCTTTAGGAAAGTAACAGCAGCTAGTATGATAGTGACCAACTCTGGTAATCCTGTGGCTGGTACTGTTGGTCTGCAAAATGTCAGGACTTCTAGGTCACACTATACTAAGGCAGTGACAAGCTTAATTCCTTTTTCCTTCTTACTGCTGAGACTATTTCCAGAAAACTAAAAATTATCCAGTACTCATATAAAGAAGCAGAAGCAGTTACAGAATAAGGAGAAGAAGACACATTAGGAAGAAATTCTATCAGCTTTGAGAATGAAAGCTACACTACTGAGTTAGTAAACAAACTCATACATCATTACATAAAATGACACAGCTACTACCACCTGTTCTGTTTACTGTTTCTGCAACTATTATTATTAGTATTACTACTAGTGTTATCACCAGCACAATCAAAATATGAGCAATAATAGAAATAATTTCTTTAATGAAATGAGGGCAAGAGGTGGGAAATTTTTACCTCCAGCTTCTTCCTCATTGTTGAGAAATCCATTGGTGTCTGGACAACTGTGTAGTAGTCAGGAGCATCTAGAGGATCCACTGTGAACATTGTCAACACATTAATTGAGTGTTCATGCAATAAAATAGAGACTGAGTAGCAGACTGGTAGCTATGTCCATTCCTTCACAGACCTGTGCCCCCAATGGAATAAGATATGATGTGACAATGGGGATATTACGTTGAGCCTGAATTTTCAGGGACCCAGTGATACATAGGAGGTAAAACCATCAGTACTGATCTACCAGCCTTTACTTTTGCAAACACTCATGTGGTATCCACATTTATGAGCCTGGGTACAACACCAGAACTGTTTCTTCTTCTTCTTCTTTTTCTTCTTCTTGTGCATTCATCCAAAGATGTAACTGTGTTTCACCTTTCGGCTGACACATCCTACTTCTGCAGGCATTTGTTGAATGGGTTAGCCTTCCCGGCCTGAACTGTTTGACTGAGGAGCAAAATTCATGCCACTACTGTAGACTGAATACCAAAGCAGCCATGCTGGTAAGTAAGTGAGCTAATCACTGAGCTAGGACACATCCAAAATAATGTAATATCCTGGTCAACATCTCAGCAGACACAATCATGTATGTATTGTTCATGAGCTAAATTACTTGTCCAGTCAACACTTTTCACTACAGGACACATTCCCTAGCATCTGCTTCGTTCTTCTTTTGTCCCACTGCTTATGTCGTAAAAGCATCGCAGAGAGGAGTTACATATAGTTTCCTATCTTTTACTAGTTGCGTAGCTTGTACTCATGTCATATTACGTTTCTGTACTATCCCTTTTACTCCTCTGTTTCTTGGTTGGCCTCTTGTCCTCTGGCCTGCTGTTCTGATGTAGAACGCTCTAGCTGCTGGCTGATTTTGTTAACTCTCACCAGATAACCAAACCATTTGATTCTTTGATGAATGAAATCTATGGTCTGTGAAATCATTTACCAGTACTATGCCGACCACTGTTCCTAGTCTGCTTCTTTAGCTAGCTAATCCATATAGGTAATAAGGAGTGATGAACCTGGAACCAGTTTGCCATGCCTGCAGTTGTTCTTTATAGCATATCTGGTTGTGTGATACAGAACTCTGATGTTGTCCAGCAATTCTCCATTTACACCATACTCTTCAAGTACTGACCACAGCTTGTCTTGGTTTACTTGGTCAAAGGTTTTTCCCCTGATCAATGAAAACCACAAATAGTTTGTTGTTATACCCTATGGTTTTCTCACTCATCTGTCTCAATGCGAAAACAACAACGGTGCATCCCTAACCTTTCTGAAGCTGAACCATGAATTATTTAGGGATGGTTCCACTTTATATCTTACTCTTTGTTCTAAAATTTGTGCGTAATCTTTTCCTACATTGCTAAGAAGAAATATGTCGCTTTCTTGCTACCCTTGTTTTTCCATTGCGATACAATCACAGATCTTTACCAGTCTTCCTCTTCTGCCATGCTTGGTTACAGATATGGCATCCTTTGATGGCCCTATTAGAATATCATACATTTTCTGTAGCTCTGTTGTTAGGGCTCTTTCTGATTGCTTCTCTCTTATTTTGCTAGAATTACTGGTTCTGCCTAGTCCTTATAGGCCGATGTAAAACGATAGAGGTCGACTCATCAGCAGTTTTTTAAAGTATGCTCCTCATTGTGTTTTTTTTTAACTGGCACTACATAAAGCTCTTCTGTGTACATCATTTATTGTTGTGGAAGTGATTAGGAAACACTTGTATTTAAGGTGCACAGACTCTCTTAGAGTGTGTGCATGTTGATATTCTGATGCCTAAAAAGTAGTGCTGTTTGGTATTTTATATTGTTGACCTTCTGCATTCTTTTTTTCTACTTATCTGTCTCCATCCTCAGTGAAAACACTGCGTTTGGGAGTTTGCAGACAGTTCACTTAAAATATTTCCAGTTTGTCCAGGATTCCTCTCTTGATTTTTAAATTATCTTCTTGCTGTGTCTTCTAGTCCGTTAGTATACAGAATAATTTACTGTCCGTTTTTTTTTAAACTTTTTGAAACAAATTTTTTCTCTCCTTGACTGCAAATTTAACTTTTTTGTTCTACAATACTGCTCTAACCCTTCTTTTACCCCCTTTAAAAAAAAAAAAACACCACCTAACAACAGCAGCATATTCCTAACATTCCTGCAGGGATAAACATTAGCACATCGTTATTTACTTTTTTAAATTACTATTATTTTGACTTGTTTATATACTGTTCAAAAAAAAAAAACAAAAGAAACAGTTTTTTTATTAGTTTGTAAAAAAAAATATTGTGCTCGGGTATGTGAAAAGTAGTCTCAAATGTTTTTTGCTGTGTCCAGTAGATGTGTGGGTGTGAATTGTGTGGGTTTTTGTCAATGTTACAACGCAGTGGTCAGTTGTGTTTGAGACCATATTTGTGAGCACAGACTTCTCTGGGCCAACCAACATTGTCCTGGGGCAGGTGACAATCAGTGGAGATGTGTCTGGTTTCGTTATGAATCTTTCTTTTTATTGCAGCCTCATGAGAGACGGCGTAGGGTCTACCGTAGCAGAAAAGAAGGTTTAGCACAAAATTGAGTTGATGAAGCTGTGCCGCACAGGGGTGGAGGTGTAATGGTGTGGGGAATGATCAGTTACAAGGCAAGGAGTCAACTGGTGCACACTGAAGGAACCTGAATATGCAACGATACGTCAATGAAATTCTTTGACCACAAGTCCTTCCATTTTGGAATGCCAGTAGATATCTTTTTCAACAGGACAACGCCAGATCCCATTCTGCATGAATGACCATACAGTTCCTGGCTGCCAATAACATTCAAACCCTTCCCTGTCCATCCCTCTCTGTAGACATGAGTCCGACTGTGCACCTGGGGGATGAGCTGCGAAGACATGTTTGTTACCGAGATGTTGCTCCAGCCAATGGTCGTAATCTGTTCCAGACACTCTAGAAAAGAGCGGGCATCCATCTCACAGCCCACATCAGACATGTGATCTCATCCATACCCAGGAGAGGCCAAGTCACTGATTCACGCAAGAGGAGGCCCCACACCATACTAACGGGAAAGTCAGTGAGTATTACGTTCCTTTCAGTAGCTTCACGTTCCCTTTTTTTAACAGTATATTTCTCCCCCTGTGTGTGCATGTGTGTGTGTGTTTTTTTGTTGTTGTTCAGAAAACTTCTTATTTGTTTCATTTCATCCCATAAAATAGCCTCTTCCATCCATATGTTCTACTAAGTATTTCTGGTTTCAGGTTGACCTTAGCTGTTAATAAACTCTGTGTCTGGTCAGCTGAGTTTTCTAATCACAATCTTTGTAGTAGTAGTCCTCTCTGATAAAGACTTCGGTCAAAATACCCCCCCCCCCCCCCCGAACCAAAACCTACTAACACTAAGTAGAATATACATGAAGCTTAAATGTATAGAACAATTCCTACCAGGAAATGTAAACCATTCAGCAGCTGGAATATCATTTTTGTCTCTAGGAGAACCTTTAAACCTGGCCACTTTCAAGAGCAAGCTGCAGACAAAATGGATTTATACTGTGTTTTTTTTTTAAATGAGCACAGGTTAGTTTTAAAAAAAAAAATTCATAAACAAAGTTTAAGCAAAAACCAATTTAATTTGTAATTAAGGTATGCTGGAGAAATGCCAAAATTTATAGTATAAGTATAAAGTAATGTGGTCGGTTATAGTACTAGAAAATCTGTGGAATTCAAATGAAAGACATTATACTAAACTTGGTATATTCAGCTGTAATGTCAAATCAGTACTGCTGTATGGAGCTCAAACATAAAAAACATTTTTAAAAAATTAGTAATGAATAAGCAAAAATTGATTAACCGGCACCTACACAGTATAGGTGAATTAAATGTATGACAGAATCACTAATTTAGAGCTTTGGGAGAGAACCAGTGAAGCAAGAGGTGAAGAAAAAACACTGGCATTGGATAGGACACATAGTGAGAATACTTGGAAACAATATAATTAGTACATATTTACACTGGAACCCACAGGAGCACAGAAATAAAGGCAGACCAAGAGAAGGGAGCTAGCGATTGGAGTTAAACAGATGGGAAAGTGCACTGCATGTGAAAGAGGAGGATGACCTGGCGTGAGTTGGTTGAGGGCCTATGCTTCATTGAGGAATAAGGGATAAATGAAGAAGAGGAATATGGTCAGTCCCCTATAGAGGTGTCTAAGGAGGGCTGGGAACCTCCTTTTCACAGAAAACTGAGGGCCTTCACCAGCGCTATTCAACTGGGGACTTGTGGGCCGAATCTGGCCAGCAGAGGCATAGCAAGTGGCCCGCATTTCCCTGCCAGCTGTACTGGATTAGTGATTGTTCTATGCTGGGACTCAGACCTCTGGCCTGCAACGATCCCCAATTTCAACATTGTGATGCCCTGAGTAAACCTAGCTGAATACATGAATAAAATAGACAAGAAGAATACTGTCAATATACTGTCACCACAACAATGGGCAGAACCAGGTCCACAGTTGATAAACTGCTGGATTTGGCTGCTATGACACCAGCACATGTTCAGACTGCTACAATGTCACGGGCAAGATGCAGAGTTTGAAAAGTGGTATCTTTATTTAAAAATACCTCTACTTTGATCTTTACTGAATTTCTAACTCTCTGTCTTAGATCTTTCATTTCATTTATACATCATTGTCACTTTGGTTTCATTCTCTTCTCTTTTAGTTTAACATGAATTAAGAAAACCAAATTAGAAATTTAGAATAGAAGCAGTCAACAGGGTAATGTAGGGCAGGCAAGGTGCCCAATATTTTGTTCAATGATTATTACCACAAATTTAAAAAAAGGAAACATTTTAAACTCTGAACTAATTTAACACTAAATGGGTGCCTTACATCTCTGTGTAAGCATATTCGCCACACAAAGTACTTCAAAAGATGCCTCAACACATAATATCAACTCTACAAGAGACACTGATGAGGCTATCTCTGTTCAAATGAAGATAATAATGTATTTTTTTCTTTTTTAATGATTCTTTCCCAACATATTACCACTCTGAAAAAAAACATTTTTGTTCAGCAAATTGTGCCATTACCTGGCAGCAACCTTAACCCAGCTGCCAGAAGCTGTAGATTGCAAGGGTTCCTCTAAGCCTGAAGGATGTTTGCGCTTCCGTTTACTGCTTCGCACTAATGCTGACTGGTCCGAAGATACAGGGCCATCACTGTGTGTGTCAGCATCGCTACTTCCTGCTGGAAAGAAAAGCATTGTAAGCTGCAACCAAGCTTCACTAAGAATGATGAGGCAACACTGGGTACAATAATGTGGTCAACATCAAATCAACAACATAATCAGATAACCATCACACTAACATCATCAAAAAATTGACATCATTCTCAAATGACCATCCTATAAAACAACATACAGATATAACCTCTGTATTAACATCAACATATTTAACATCCTCATATTATTAGGCAACCATAAGCCCCTAGGGACCCTGGTGCTGGACCGCTGGCTCTGGAAGCAGCCACTGTTATGACTGTGAAGTTCTATTCAGGAGTGGCAGTTTCTACCACATATTACATTAACAAACTGTGATAGTTTTCCTGAGGTTCATTTTCACTTGGACATCTCCTCTCTACAGTTTGCTGCTTGAGACCTCTTGCAAAGTGTGACAGTCCGTCTTCCACTGTCTGTTTCCTTAGTAGTTGGTCTGCAGCTGATCCCTGTATGTAAATGCTGGTGTACTTCAGCTCATGTTTGCATTATGTCGTTATAGAATAGCCTTGACCTTCCTGCAGGTCTTTTCCCTGTTTTCAGTTCACCATACAGGAGATCCTTTGGAATACAACAATCCTCCATGCAAGTGAGAAATATCTCAACCAGCGCGGGAGACAAGTCTCAACCAGCGCGGGAGACATGTCTCAACCAGCGCGGGAGACATGTCTCAACCAGCACGGGAGACATGTCTCAACCAGCGCGGGAGACAAGTCTCAACCATGCGCGGGAGACAAGTCTCAACCAGCACGGGAGACATGTCTCAACCAGCACGGGAGACAAGTCTCAACCATGCGCGGGAGACAAGTCTCAACCAGTGCGGGAGACATGTCTCAACCAGCGCGGGAGACAAGTCTCAACCAGCGCGGGAGACATGTCTCAACCAGCGCGGGAGACAAGTCTCAACCAGCGCGGGAGACATGTCTCAACCAGCGCGGGAGACATGTCTCAACCAGCGCAGGATGTCTTTGTTTAAACAGAAAGTACATTGATAGCATTCCTGATTACCTGAGTAGACATTTGCTGGGGACAAAATGATTTTGAGACTGTCTCTAATTTCCATGAAACTACCTAGTGCCGACTGTAGGCTAAGTCAACACAAAAGACTTTTTAAAAAAGTGATGCGTGCACATCTGTGTCACAGGTCTCTCTCATCATGCAGACTGTTGGTTCCTTGCCTCTCAGGCAGATGTACTCCGATTTCAAAAAAGATCTCAATTAGTCAACTCTTACGACATGCTTTTGGGCAGTCAGTGGGTCTACTCTTGTTTTTCCCACAATAAGGCCCCGAAACCCACATGGGGAGACAGATGCTAGTATTTCTGCTCTGTGGCATAAAGGTCATAAAACACATTTTACAATTTTAAACACACCACAGCTCAAATTGCTTGGCAGAGAAAATCCTTCTGGTGGCTTTCAGAAAGTGGTAGGAGAGTCACACCATGGAAGAGACTGCGGTCTACAGTATAATATTCCGGAATACAGCCGTGGATGTACATACACACCCACTGTAACCAACTTCTAATGTTGTCACACGTTTTATTTATTATTTGTCTGATTTTATCCACTGTATGCAACTTTGTAATGAACTAATGCATTATTTAATTGATAACTCAGTTTTTTTTCTGCTTAACTTCATTATTATTTTACTTTTAATTACTAACAATTTCCTCAATTTTACTATTAAGCTAAAAATTAACATTCCTAGGCTAACTACTATCATCTCTTTAAAAAAAAACATTAATATCTCTGTACTAAACATTACCATTTTTATATTAAACATTACCATTTCTTATTAAACATTCCCACTCTATATTAAACATTAACATCTCTATATCAAAGACTGCCCACCATACACTAAATACTATTCTGAATATTCTCAAAGAGCACTAATCTATTTTACAGTATGAGACAATGGCAAGATTGTTACCTGTGGTCACATCGTCAGGATGACTGACAACTGGTTCCTGCCGTGGGGGAGCTGTCAAGACATCTTTGACTTCAGGTTCTTTTAACTTGACGGTACTAACTACTACTGCATCCTTTCCCACAACTTTCTTCCTCTAAAAAATGGAAACAGCATAGGCATTGGAAGCATTAATTCTGTTTTATGTGTATAGCTGTCAGAAACTTATACAATTAACATGACTATCAACCCAGCAAAAGGGAGCCACAGTAGTATTATGGCTAGATACTCGCCTGCCGGCCCGAATGTCATGGGCTGAAATCCGCATCAAGGCTGATTTCCTTTCAAAATTGACCATGACTCCATAATTGACCCAGCCTATAAATGGTACCAGGTAATGTCCTGGGAAGTAAAGGTGGCCACATCACCCCCTGAGCCACCGCTCAGTATCAGAAACTTATACAATGATGGTTTAGAATGACGGATTTAACATTTTGGTCTCTGAAAGAAACTTGGACATATTCACCCAGTATCACCAGTCTGGTATTGCAACAACTGCTGTCACCACTATCATTATTTACAGTACCGCTGCGACCATCGCCATGACTACCATTATTACTAAAACTACTACAGCTATAAATAATGCTGCTGCTTAATGGTCTATAAAACTATGAGTTTAGTATCACATGCCTGTTGCACTACTGGCATATCATATAAATGGTAATTTGATTACTTAGTTTGACAAACATCAGGAGCAGTGTCTCTACTAAACTACATCAAGAAACAACAGATCAAATGGTTTAAACATGTATAAGGACTACCACCAGATAATGCACCACAGAGACCGCTGTCAGCTGGACATAATGAGAGCAGATTAATAGGTAAAGCACGTAAGTGAAAGATAGATGCAAAATAATGAAGACTTAAGTATTTGTACTCGTTGTTAGCAAGAAATGCATCTCTGTGAGCTCTACCTGTACTCGTGGTTAGTGAAAAATATATCTATGTGAACTCTACCTGTAGTGGTGGTTAGTGAGAAATGTATCTGTGAACTCTACCTGTACTCGTGGTTAGTGAGAAATGTATCTGTGAACTCTACCTGTACTCGTGGTTAGTGAAAAATATATCTATGTGAACTCTACCTCTACTCGTGGTTAGTGAGAAATGTATCTGTGAACTCTACCTGTACTCGTGGTTAGTGAAAAATATATCTATGTGAACTCTACCTGTACTCGTGGTTAGTGAGAAATGTATTTCTGTGAACTCTGCCTGTACTTGTGGTTAGTGAGAAATGTATCTCTGTGAACTCTGCCTGTACTTGTGGTTAGTGAGAAATGTGTCTCTGTGAGCTCTGCCTGTACTCGTTGTTAGCAAGAAATGCATCTCTGTGAGCTCTATCTGTACTCGTGGTTAGTGAGAAATATATCTATGTGAACTCTACCTGTACTCGTGGTTAGTGAGAAATATATCTATGTGAACTCTACCTGTACTCGTTGTTAGCAAGAAATGCATCTCTGTGAGCGCTATATGTACTCGTGGTTAGTGAGAAATGTATCTCTGTGAGCTCTACCTGTACTCGTGGTTAGTGAGAAATATATCTATGTGAACTCTACCTGTACTCGTGGTTAGTGAGAAATGTATCTCTGTGAAATCTGCCTGTACTCGTGGTAAGCAAGAAATAAATCTCTGTGAACTCTGCCTGTACTCGTGGTAAGCGAGAAATGTATCTCTGTGAACTCTGACTGTACTCATGGTAAGCGAGAAATGTATCTCTGTGAACTCTGACTGTACTCATGGTAAGCGAGAAATGTATATCTGTGAACTCTGCTGTACTCGTGGTTAGTGATAAATGCATCTCTGTGAACTCTGCCTGTACTTGTGGTTAGTGAGAAATGTATCTCTGTGAGCTCTACCTGTACTCGTGGTTAGTGAGAAATATATCTATATGAATTCTACCTGTACTCGTTGTTAGTGAGAAATGTATCTCTGTGAACTCTGCCTGTACTCGTGGTTAGTGAGAAATGTATCTATGTGAACTCTGCCTGTACTCGTGGTTAGTGAGAAATGTATCTCTGTGAACTCTACCTGTACTCGTGGTTAGTGAGAAATGTATCTATGTGAACTCTGCCTGTACTCGTGGTTAGTGAGAAATGTATCTCTGTGAACTCTGCCTGTACTCGTGGTTAGTGAGAAATATATCTCTGTGAGCTCTGCCTGTACTCGTGGTTAGCGAGAAATCTGTGAACTCTGCCTGTACTGGTGGTTAGTGAGAAATGTATCTCTGTGAACTCTGCCTGTACTGGTGGTTAGTGAGAAATGTATCTCTGTGAGCTCTGCCTGTACTCATGGTAGGCGAGAAATGCATCTATGTAAGCTCTGCCTATACTCGTGGTTAGCGAGAAATGTATCTATGTAAGCTCTGCCTATACTCATGGTTAGCGAGAAATGTATCTCTGTGAGCTCTGTAAGCTCTGCGAGAAATCTGTGAGCTCTGTCTGTACTCGTGGTTAGCGAGAAATCTGTGAGCTCTGCCTGTACTCGTGGTTAGCGAGAAATCTGTGAACTCTGCCTGTACTCGTGGTTAGCAAGAAATGCACCTCTGTGAGCTCTCCTTAGAATTTTCTTCTCTACAATGAAATAAGGAGCTGTCTGGCAGTGGGACAGTCATAAAGACTGTAACATTTTGGTCTCTGAAAGACACTTGAAAATATTCACCCAGTATCACCAGTCTGGTATTGCAACAACTGCTGTAACCACTATCATTATTTATAGTACCACTGCGACCATCGCCATGACTACCATTATTACTAGAACTACTATAGCTATTATTAATGCTGCTGCTTTTGCTACTGCTTAAACTACAATTCTCTTTTTCTGTTGCCCTTTACCCACCTCCCCACCCCCTTTTCCAGTGAAGCATAGGCCCTCAAACAATTCAGGCCAAGTCAATCTATCATTTGCTGTTGCCTGCATCTAAACCCATGTCCTCTCACCTTTTTTAACCTTACTCTCTAGTTCCCTTATCCATATGCATTTTTTTTTGACTTCCTTTATTTCTATACCTCTGTAGGTTCCAGTATAAAAACAATCTAGTTACATTGTTCTTAGGTTTTCTCAACGTATGTACCTTCCAGTGCCAATCTTTTCTTTATTGACTGGAATTTTCAAACTATATGTTTGTTGCATAACTATTCCCATCACTGCTACTAATGTATCAACTCTTGCTGTTGCTGCTGCCGCAACCGCTACCACTACTACCACCACCACTACCCAAAAAGTCAGTAATTATAATACATCTATAATGGTATATGTGATTTCTTCAGACAACTGACCTGGTCCTCATCTGGTTCTGTTCTATTTGTCAGATCATCCAGTTTCAATGTAATAACTGAAGGCGATGGCTCAACACTGACTGCAATCGGCAACACACTGGTCTGTGAGTTTGATTTCTGGCAAGTGGCTGCCTGAAACAATGGAGAACATTTCAGCATTAGGCACCATCCACTCATCTAACTCCTCAATGTGTCTAAATGCTATTTTTAATGATTAAAGCAATGACTAAGAAGGTTGACAACCTAACTGGTTTTGATAGTTTTTCTGTCTTGGTTGTGTCAATATGAAAAATACTCATGTTTTATAAAACCCAATAAAGAAATAAAAAAAGTTTTCAGACAGACAGATACGCACGCACGCACACAAACATATATATATATATATATATATATATATATATATATATATATAAAATTCTCCTCATGTAACTCCCACAGTCAGCACATCGGGTGTGTCCTGACAATTCATAACTATCACCAGAAACAACAGTCCTGGCCAGTCACTACAGTATGGCAAAGTCAAGTCTTTACCTGATCAGTCATGACAAGTGTTTCACCTGCCAAAATAACATCGGTAATATACAACATAAGAGCTGTTAAGCTTGCCTGCAGATCCGAGGGTCATGGGTTCGGGTAGTGACGGAGCTAGACCTAGCCTCGAGTGGGTACCAGGGAGAGTCCTGGGAAGTTAAGGTGACCAGCGTGATGCCGATTGTATCACCCACCAAGTGCCGACTGGTCTATAAAATATAGGTCTAGCTCTATATGCCCAATACACCTAAAGGCACGTAAAAGGGTCCGCTACTTCATTTTACTTAGATACACAACATGCATGCATGTCCACTGACATCACTAACGTAACATGAGTAATATTTTACTTAGATACACAACATGCATGCATGTCCACTGACATCACTGAGGTAGCATGAGTAATCTGTCACCAAGCATAGGTGAACAGAGAGATCAACAGATCAGGCATCCTTTTTTTTTAAAGCCCAGTCTCAGTGAAGCAAGCTTTAAGACCTGCTGTGCACGCTAGCAAGCTCTAAGACCTGCTGTGCACGCTAGCAAGCTCTAAGACCTGCTGTGCATGCTAGCAAGCTCTAAGACCTGCTGTGCATGCTAGCAAGCTCTAAGACCTGCTGTGCATGCTAGCAAGCTCTAAGACCTGCTGTGCATGCTAGCAAGCTCTAAGACCTGCTGTGCATGCTAGCAAGCTCTAAGACCTGCTGTGCATGCTAGCAAGCTCTAAGACCTGCTGTGCATGCTAGCAAGCTCTAAGACCTGCTGTGCATGCTAGCAAGCTCTAAGACCTGCTGTACATGCTGATCTAAAAATATAACACACTGGTGATCACAATGAGGAATGACCACACACAATCACTACAACAATTATTGGAACCCACAGGGGCACAGAAATAAAGGAAAACAAAAAAACACACGGAGAAGTAAGCTAGAGAGTGAAGTCAAAAAGATTGGGAGGACTTGGGAAGAGCTGCATGTGATAGCAAAGGAAAGAATGAATTGGCGAGAGTTGGTTAAGGGTCAATACTCAGCTGGGGGTTAAAATGCAGAAGAAGTCAACAATTATTAATCTGCTACTTTATAGCACATTCTCTCCACAAAAAAATAACCAAGCATCTGTCCTCCTGTGATCTCAGACTCGAGCATTCAGAATATGTATCATCAATTTTCCACAACAATAAATTTAATTCCCTTGGTACTTGACAAAACAAGATGTGAGGGGAAAAGTCCTCATCTTTACCTCTGCCTCATTAGAATCTGACTGTATAATCTATTAAACATTCATCCATTTAGTCTGGGCCTATCCACTAGTCACTTGTGTAGATAATCAGCACTGATATCTCTGCCATACTCAGTAATAGGATAATGCTGATAATATGGGGAAAAATCTATGCAGTTCAACAAGAAGTAAAAATGATCCAAGATTCTGCTGTTAAAATGAAAAGGTGAACAAAGCTTATCAGCATGGCACATGATGATGATGACCTAAACAGCCAACACTGTCATAAAACCTGGCAACTTACTGGTCCATGTGACACAACACTGACAGTGGCAGGGGCTTTGCTCATGGCAGCCCGTGTCACCTCCTGGATGGTGATATATGCTGAGGCAGGGGATGACAATGATGATGATGCTGCCACAGAAGGAGGTAGAGATGAGGACCTGCTCAGCTGGGAAGGTAAAGACACCAACATATTGCTGTGGATGACTGCCACCTCTTGTTGTGATGATGCTGGGTTTGAGACAGTCAGAATTCTGGTACCATCCTTGGCTGCAGTAGAATAAAAACTACAATTTAGCTAAGCAATGGACAAAAGAGCTTAACAGCCACTGATTAAAACTAAAAGGTAAAAGCAGAGAACCCGGTATTCCGCAGTTTAAGGCCAACAGTGCTAGTCTCATATTTTAATAGGCAAGTTGGTGCTCCATATGGTGATGCAAACAATATATCAGAAACCTGCTGCTCATGACGTTTCCTGCCACCCATTTTAGGCTGAGTCAACCAACAGCAAATCATGGTCTGCCCACTAAGAGAGAATGCCTTTGATGCTATACCATACAAGGCAGATCCCAAAAGAGGAGAAGAACGTAGAGCACACAAGGCGGAGAAAGAACAAGATGGAAACATACCCCTGGAGAAAATGTATAACAGCACAATGTGTCTATGGTTGAGGTGGCCACAAAAACAAGAACCAGAACCTCATATCTCGCTGCTTGACACCCAAAGTGGTAAAAGAGGAAGCGAAGAGGAACCTAATAGCCCATGACAATTACAAATTTCTCCAATGGGGAGTAAAACCCAAGATACCATAAAACCATTAAACAGTCAGAAACAGGCAAGTCACTGGACTCACAGATACACCCCCCCCCCCCCCCCATCCCACCTGCCTTCAAGATTTGACACCAAGAGAAACATAAAGGTGATTGAAATGTGTCACATTGCTATATTGATGTTCTTAGGTACACAGTTGCTAAGAATACAGCAGACGACAAACCTTCAGTTAATTGATCTTTATTCACTGTTACAACAACCACACTGTCCATGTGCTCCTTGTGTTCTCGTGATCACTACACATGGCTGATTCCTGATGACTTTGCCAACCATCTCACACGGTGATTCTCTCTGCCATTACCTTTCGGATCATACATCTGTATCATACTAACATATTGTACCTGCTACTTGTACACCATTGAAACTTGCAATCAGGAGACATTCATTTGAGCTCTCGAACAAGTACACATGGTCAGACGTTCTGCATTCTCATCAGTTGTTCTCTCTCATTCGACCGCACACATCCAGCTCCGAACTTCAACTGCCTTCCTACCCTCTCTGGTTCATATCTTCCGTTCCAGTCTCAAACTTTCCTCGTATCCCTATTCACTCACCACGGTATACTCGAGACCTGCTTATCTCGCTTTCCTTTCGTTTCGCTGGTCTTCTGACCTTGCCCCCCCCCCCCCCCCCCCCCCCCACCCCCATAGGAAACTCTGGCATTTCTCCGGGAATTCATAACATTACAGTGATCTGTTCAACATCACAGTGGCTGCTTTTACTTCTCAAGATATTTCCTAGTTACCAATGAAGCCTAGGTCAATCTGGGAGCCTAGGTCAATTTATATACAAATGTGTATCAATGCAGAATCAAATCCCTGACCTTCAGACCAGTGAACAACACTCTAACCACTAAACTCCTAAGAGACATATAAGTTGTCAAAAATAATATGAACAAATACAGGGTCTTGTTGACTTGAGGCCGAGTTTCACTCTGAGCAATAGGTCGTTAGTCAAATTGGTCGTAAGTCGAATTACAATTTTTTTCTACTATATTTTCATTCAAATGGGTTACAAACATTGTGTATAAAATACAAAAATCTAGTCACACAAAATAAGACCCTGCTGTGCTCCAGGCTCGAGTTTCGAGAACATGTTGACCTACCAATGTAGTTATCTTTCTTTATTTACTATTTTGATTGACATCAAGTGTCATTTAGTACTAAACTGAAAAAATCACACATCAAGTCTTTTTTTAATGCTATACTGACCACATCACACATCAAGTATCATTTGGCACTATACTGACCACATTGCACATCAATTGTCATTTAGTACTATACTGACCACATGAAACATCAACTGTCATTTAGTACTATACTGACCACATGAAACATCAACTGTCATTTAGTACTATACTGACCACATGAAACATCAACTGTCATTTAGTACTATACTGACCACATGAAACATCAACTGTCATTTAGTACTATACTGACCACATGAAACATCAACTGTCATTTAGTACTATACTGACCACACCATACATCAAGTGTAAATGGATCTATAAAATTAGGGGTCTAACACAATAATCCCAACGCGTCAAAAGCATGAAAAGGGTCTTTAGAAAAACACAAATCAAACTGCACGACACTGTCAGAAATGTACAACAGTACCTGTCTCTTCCCTCAAAACCTCTGCCATCCCGGGCCTGGTAGCAACAACAGGCTCCCCGATTATCTGACCTCCCAAGGCAACAGGTAAATGAGTCTGGGCTTCATCCAGCCCCTGGTCATTGCTATCATCCTCCAAATCATCTTCCTCCTCATATTCATCATCATCGTCATTAAATGAATCAAGGTTGATCTGAGCTTCCGCCAGCGAACTACTCAGAAGGTCCAAAGGAGGATGAGTAAGGGAAAGTGAGGATGAGGATGAAGATGGTCGTGGCTCAGCCTGTATTAGAAGTGAGGTCACAGAAGAAGGTTGTAAAGATGCAACTGGTAGAACTTGGGGTGCAGCCGAATGTGCTACTTTGCTAGCATTGATGTATTTCTCCGCAGCCGTCACCTTGCAAAACAGCCCGGTCTGAGTATCCAGCTGACCTTCTTTCAGCCCTTCTTCTGAAATGACAAGTTATACACTATGTAAGAAATTTGGTGAGTTTTTTTTTTTAAACAAATTTACAGCAAGCTAGATAACTCAGCATGCGCTTATTACTTCTATTTACTTCTACAGTTGATGACAGCGTGTCTGAAATACAAAATAGATAAGGAACACTAAGTGACAACCTGTCACAGAAGTCCCACCCCCCAAAAAACTGCCTTTATTATACCATTTTTGAGGTGTAGGCAGGGGTCTTTGAGCCTCAGGATTTAAGGCCACGTGGCTAGTGCTGTCGCCATGACTGTGCAGGTCAGGATTTTATTTTGCACATGACAGAAAAATCCCCAGCCCTACCGAGGATTTGAACCTAGGTCTCCCACTTGAAAGTCCGCATTCTAACTGTTCGGCCACACAGCCGAAATTTAAGAAAAGGACCCTTTTCCACGCTTTCAGGTGTTTTGGGCATATAGGGCTAGACCTATACTTTATAGACACGGCTCTCAAACTTCCAGCTCCACTCATACACTTGCTATATTGACAGGCATGCATCAGCATTCTGGATCATTCGTCGATGAATTTGTATAGGTTTCACCACTTCACTGATTAAAAAAATGAATAACAGAACGCTGCTCCTCATTGGTGCATGACAAAATTCTGGCAGCCATCTTTAAACTGTCATTATGAGGTCACCGTGTCTGTCTGCACCAGGATGTCATGTGCTTAACATCCTTGACATTCTTATCAACAACATCTGACAGGTTAATGGCATAATTACTGTAATATCTATCACACTGTTAAGGTTTTCAACTGTATAACCTTGTCTCAAACTCAAAATAGGCAATAATAAAATCTGTGGGGATACAGAACTGCCTATCAAAAATAAAGACCGTGGTGTGAATTGAAACAAATTAAAGAAAATTAAAGGACCCTTTTCCACGCTTCCAGGCGTATTGGGCATATACGGCTAGACCTATACTTTATAGACCAATCAGCACTTGGGGGGTGATGTGTTCATTATCATGCCAGTCGCCTTTACTTTCCAGGACTGCACCTGGAACCCGCTCATGGCTGGGTTGACTTGGGAGCCAAGGTCATTTCTGAAGAAAGCCCAGTTCGGCCAGGACCCAAACTCATGACCCTCCGATACGCAGCAAGTCTCTAGCCGCTACACCACCGTGACTCTCTCCCAGACGGCAAGACAAACAGAAAACTCATCACAAAGGTCTAAAACAGAATAATCTTTGAAAGGATTATAAAGAAAAAAATAACACCGAAGTAGTTTTTAAAAACTGATTAATGGAAAAAGGCAGATGATGGTAGAGAGAAAAGAGAGGTGACAACACTGCCCTTCTGTTTCACTCTAAACATTAGATGTAAAATAGATTAAACACACCTAAAGAGAGAACACACAGTAAAGTTTAAAAAGGAATAGGGGAAAGACAAAAACAATCAGTTACTCAAGCAATGCAATTACATAATCTCCTTTAGTGAAACACTTCCAAGATGTGAAGGCATGCACCTATTTAAGCAGTAAGTAGACACAGATGGGGGAGAACAAAGAGTTAAATTACACATTTTTAAAATGCCAAGAGAACTATTGGAAATTACACCTAACACAACACTTAAAATATTTAACTAGGACATCAAATCCCTACTGTCCGGGAAGGCTAACCCGGTCAACAAATGCCCGCAGAAGTCGGATGTGTTGGCCGAAAGGTACAAATATCTAAGTCATGGTGTAAACGGACACAACGCAATTACATCTTCTGATGAACGCAGAAGAAGAAGAAATCACTACTGATAAATTGAGAAGAAAAATTAAGAGCATTTACTCTTCGTCTTCTTCAATTTGTGTTGTGCCTGTTTATAGTAAAGCTGTGATATGTGTGCTTTTTTGCAGATATATCTGATTTCATCTGGCATTTGTTCAGTTGGTTTCATGCGGTGTCCTTTATAACTTTATCTACAGGTGTTGCCCCTAGAGAACCCATCCAAGGCAGCCATGTGTAGACTGGTCCACCTTCAAGTAAAGGCAGGGGCAGAACATCCAAGAAGGTTTCTGTAAATGCAGAGCCGACACATGACACTCTAGTCCTGGGCTCACTCAAGGAATCACCACGTCCTGCACATGACTACTAAACACACATCCGTATGTTGAGCTTCTTACTCATCATGGACTGTGCTCTTTAGAGATCAACAGGAAGCAGCCCGGAGATCCAAGACTTGGATGACCATAAATCCTATTCTGCACATAAGACACCGTAAAATGTAGTTGCATCAGGCATGGCTTTCCTATTATGAGTGTCGAGCGGGGTCAATGGTAGAGATATTTAAACTTCTGTCATAGAGTGGGATAAATTGAACCTTTTTTTGTCACACATTACAAAGTAGGACAACTGATGGTCGGACAACTGAACCTTGTCTGCCGCACAGCAAAACATCTGACGGTTGGATTTCTGAACATTGTCTTTCACACAGTAGGACTTTCATTGATCCAAAATATAAAACTTCACTGATATGCTGTAGGACACCTGACGGACCGATATTTGAGCTTAAGCAGCAATTCAGTAGGACTTTTGGTCGACAGATGTTTGAACCAAGGTTTGTCACACAGAAGGATATTCAACCAGCAGGGTTCATTCAAAATGAGTTTTGGGTGGATATTATCATCCAAGAATTGGGTGTGGGTTAATGACAGCCATAGGATTTCTGGACAGTGCAACTCTGGAGGCCACTATGAGATCCCCTGCCAGCTCAGTTCGGGTCATTTCTCTGTGGCACATGACGTGTGGCAAACCTATGATCCCCAAGTAGACACTCAAGCCTGCTAGCCACTGCAATATCACACATCCACACAAATGAACCACCCATCCTCCCCCAAAAACACTTCTTCCTTCTACTGACATAGCTTTTCTGAAGGAAGATAATCAATAAATACAAACACAGTAGATAACTGACTGCTTTCGGTGACAGTGCTAAGAGGTGAGGAAAAGAGATGGCTGAGGGTCAATGGTCCATTGGGCGTTAAAGGGCATAAGAGGAAGAAATTTTAAGGAAGAAAGATGATGGGGACAGGACGCAAAAGAAAACTTGAGGAGGAAGAGGAAAGAAAGTGGAGGAGAGAAGTAGAAAAATGAAAAAGGAGGAGATGAAGAAAAAGAAGTATAAGGAGTAGTCGAAGAAAAATAATGTACTCAGTAACAATGAGACCCACCAGGTGATACAAGCACCCTTGCTACTGAAGTCTCCTGTGTTTGAATGGTAACTGCTGCCTCCCTGTTTGTGTCGTTAATTAATGTCTTTGTTGCTGTTGATAGTAAACTCACCTGCAAATGTAAACACCCTAAGAGTGTTGCACCAATCAAAAGGCAATGGCAAACAACTAAAATTAGCAAAACAAACACAAAAGTTAATAAATGCTGAGCATAAAAAACTAACTGGTGTGCAGTAGTAAGTTTACAAGGTAATACTGAATTCCTAATCTTCACACTTCTACCCTGAAGTGCAGCAATACCTTCCAATCGTATCTTTTGCTTAGCATAATTATAAACTTTTTCTTTATGCAAACCAAGACCAGTGAAATGTAGAATCGCAACCAAACTTCTTCTTATTGTCCATGCTTCTTGGCGTTGTCAGTCATGTATCCACAGCCCTGCGACTCATGTATTTTCAATTGTGTCGGGCATAGATGCTCTTCCACGTCCTGATATCAAACTTTCCAGCATCTTCTCTCTCAATCTCCCTCTGCTCTCTTCCTCTCTAACTTTCCATTTTCATTATTGTTTTATGTATTTTTCACTAATCCGTTTATTGTCCACGATTCACTTTCACTTTCAGGACTTGCCGCTATTTAATTATGCTTTTTGAAAAAAGGTCACTGCAGACAGGTCAATATATCAGCATTTGTATGGCTGTGTCGCAATCAAAAGTGATTAGATTTAGTCTTCTTTGTGACAACAGGGTTAACTTTGTCTGTGAGTTAATTTAAGTGTTTATACATGGTGTTTGAATCACTCTTCTGTCCAAACTATAACTCTGTAGTTTCCACACAATTATTCATCACTCTGCTGATTTGTATAACTTACTCTGTCACCTTAACTGACAATGACATGTTGCTTTTTAATCACATCTTTTTGTTGTTGTTGTAATATTAAATTTTAGATTTATATTTGTTATCCAGTTTTTAAAGGACAGTGTTAGTGTTTGGAGGGCTGTAGTCTTCATTACTTCAGTTGTCTATATTGACTGTAAAATTCACTTGTGTATTGAGGATCCTCCAAATTATTTGTCATTATAATGTCCATCAAACCATGACTGGAAATCAGTTTTTAAATCATACACACCTTATCTTTTAAAACAATAGCTAACAATGATTGCCTGGAAATGGCTAATAAAAGTAGAACATTATATACAACAATGAGAAGCAGACAAAGTTCTCTGGTCATCTGATGAGAAAAAGAGCACTCAAAAATATCATGACAACTGGAAAGATCAGTAGTAGAAGAGGCAGAGGCAGACCTTGAGAGATGATAGGGGATGGTTTGAGACAGTGACAGGGACGAATATCAGTGGAACTGATCCAGAACACCTAAGACCGAGATCTGTGGAGATGCATGAACACCTACACCAGTTGGCCGGGCACTTGATAAGATGATCTTGTAAAATGGTGCCTTTGCTTCAGCTTTTGCATTTAACTTCTGCAATCTGGGTAAATTAGCATGCAAAAACTCAATTACTTGCAAAAAAAAAAACATATTTACTTGCAAAATTAACACAAATAATAATAAAATCTCAACATAACATAAACACAAGATGGGGATGTCTGACCTTAGGTTGAGTAAGTAACTGTGATATAGAAGGAATGATGGGTGTTGGGGCGAATGGGACAGGATGTGTAGATGAAACCGATGATGCTGGTATATGCTCCACTTCCAGGTTTACACCCTCCTTGTTTAGAAGTGATATGCCTGGTTCTGGAAACACAAAAACAGATTTGATTTAACAACACAAAACACAAATTATGTGGAAGCATTACTGTCTTCTGCTTCTTCTTGCTCTCCCCGCCAGTGGTCTTCATTTGAGAAGGTCTCAGGCTTCTTTCTATGAAGTCCGTGGTGCGACACTTCCCCGTTCCAAATAGCTGAGTTTCCACTAGAATGCCAAACGGCCCAAAATGGGATCTCTCTACTGCATCTAGGGAGTATGTCTGCAGCATTCTGTAGTGTCTGTCCACATGGGCAAAGTTTTGAATCCCCAATCTTGAATTTCTTGCATTTACGGTTGCAATCTAAATACAATGGTCTGTTGTTGTTGTTTTTTTCATGTGAGGAGGCTGAAGGGTCTTCAGGAGCGGTGTCCAAGATGTGACGTGTTCCAGTGGTTTCGAATGGCTGAGTTTTATTTTCCTCATCCTGTATCTGGCTGTTCTGTATGACTTCCCATTTTTGCTGAGGTAGTCTGCTGTTTCATTTCCCTTTCAGTGGCCTGGAATCCACTGCAGCAGTCTGCATTTAGCACTGATGTTAGTGCCCTTGCCTGCTGAGAGAGCTCCCAGTTTAATCCCCCAGAACTGACAAGATTTGTTCCTACCAGTATAGCTCTGGAGTCAACCCATAATCATGAAGATTGGTATCAAACATAATCTTCTTGGTATTGTCTTGGAGTGTGTGGATGTGGCTTAGGGGTTGTGAACATGGTCTGTACTTCTGAAATTACCCAGTTAAGCCAGCTGCAGGTGATTTGTGTTGATGTCGACAGTGGTATAAGGCACTGACCGTTAATGTGCAAAGGCAAACTATGAACACAAAATTGCCTAATAAAATCAGAAACAGCCAATAAGGACTGATTTGCAGTGCCCTATAAAGGATATGCAACAGTTTTTTTTTTTTTTAATCTCAAAGGAAAAGCAACAAGGAAGCAAACTGGCCTGCCTACAGTATACGCGGTGGCCTACAATATGTGAAGCCAAACACTTCACATCCTAAAAGTAGTATCTGCTTCAGGATTAGCTTTAACCTTTATCTTCTTCTTCTTAGCATTCACTGACTATAAACAGGTGGAAAGTTCGGGTGTTTGTCATTCTGTACTTTGATCTTGATTCGGAACTTCAGTTTTGTGTGTATATCAGTTTTACAGACTTTGTTTATTTCATATGTAGACTGTTTGTTCTTTGCCTCTCATGCAGATGCACTATGACGTTGAAGGAAACACCCTTACTAGTCGTCTCCTACGACATGCATATCAGGGGCGTAGTGGGTCTATAACTCCTTCTTCCCTTGCATTAGGGCTTTGGAACCCACAAGGCGTACTTTAAAAGATAAAAGCGCCTAATTTCTTCTTCTATCTGCCAACTAGTAGATTAACATTCTTCAACAAAAAACGTCCTGTCCTTTGTCCGAAGATTTCATGATTGATTTGATTTTGCAGCTGAAGTTTTCTACAGAATGGTAAAGACAGACAACTGTTCTTGGTCACTTCTTAATATAAGCTTATTAAATTACTACACCAAGTGCTCCATTTCTGCCTAAAGAAATTCTCTGCTACCATTTAAATAAAAGTGTGAAAGAAATTAAAACAATCATAGGGTAAAACATTTAATCTTCATCCTAAAGGGCACAATCAGACTGTCTTTCTCTCTAGGATCTAGGTCGGTGTTCGGGAACTCCTTCATTCTAAAACATAACATGAAAAAAATACTTTTACTTCTATTTGCTTTTAAATTTTAAGTTCACAATTATAAATTTTTTGTTTTTTTTTGTTTAACGTAAAGGTAAGGTAAAGGCCACATAACCAGAAACTGAGGTGCACAGTGCTAGACTCGTATTTGTATAGACCAATCAGCACTCAGTGGGTGACATAGCTAGTATCACACAAGATAACCGTACTCCCCAGTACCTGGGAGCCTGGGTGAATTCAACAAATGACGGCATGGATTTAGAGATACTTCTTCTTCTTCTTAAAGTCTATGCCATGTGGTGTTGGTAGTCATGTCTGACCACAACCTTCTGTCTTGTGTACTTTCAATCAACTCTGACACAGATGATCCTCCATGCCGTGATGTTAAACTATCCAGTATCTTTTCTCCCGGCCTCCCTCTGCCTCTCTTTCCCTCCAACTTTCCTACTATCACAATGTACTTAAGTTTTCTCCTTCTCATTACATGACCCAAAAAAAGTAGATTGTCTCTTTCTGATATGGGCAATCAGTTCTCTTCGTGACCTAAGTTTCTTTCAAAACATCTACATTTATCTCTTTATATGTCCAGGATATTCTCACCATTTGTCTATAAAACCATATCTCCGCAGCTTCCAAATAATTTTTCACTAATCTACCAACTTTCCATGATTCATATGGAAATATAGCTTTTAAGAATTCTCTTCCCTGTCTTAACTAACAAAGAAAGTCCACATGAAAAAATCCCAGCCTTCATCGTGGCCTGAACCCTGGACCTCTAGCACTCGAGGCAGACTTCATGCCTCAAGACCACTCAGCCACCAGGCTTCTCTTAAATTTCTATTACTTCTGTTTTTCTGCTGTTCTAACTAGGACCCTTGTTTTGACTTTTAGTTACAAATATGCCCATCATTTCTTGCAGTTGTTTTATTTTCAGTGATCACAACTGTATTGTCAGTATATCAAAGGTTGTTAACAATATGCCAACCAACCAATATTCCTGGAATACCACTTAATACCATGTATTAAAGATACAGGCAGGTAAATAACTGTCCAGGACATGATAATGTGAATTTAGATTTCATTATTTTATTAGGCCTTTGGTCAAGAGAATCCTATTTCAGCCAATACAGCTGTTAAGTCTGCTTTCCGTGCTCACTGAAAATCACCAGTTTATTTTCAATGTGGTACACTCCAATTTAGTCTGGAGAAACAAATTCCTCTACCTCTTCAAGGTTGAGATTTAAGGAAACATACAAACTTCTCTTTCGCTTTAAAGTGTTGGGCAAAAGTGTGCACACGCATGCACAAGCACGCATGCATGCATGCACACACACATGCACACACACAAAACTGCTCACTACTTCAAGACAGTGACCCAGGAATACACAAACAGCTCTTTTCTTAAGGTGGTGACACAACGGAACACACAAACCTTCCCTACTTATTCAAGGTGGTAACCAAGGGACACATAAACCTCCTATATTTATTCAAGTTGGTTACCCATGGACACATAAACCTCCTCTGCTTATTCAAAGTGGTGACCACGGGACACACAAACCTCTCCTACTTATTCAAGGTAGTGACCCAGGGATACAAAGAGACTCATAAATCTCTTTAAAATGGTGACATAAGGACACATAAATATCCCCTGCTTATTCAAGGTGGTAACCCAGGGACACAAAAACTCATCATCTCTTTTAAGTGGTGACAAAGGGACGCACAAACTACTCTTTTATTCAAGGTGACCCAGGGACACAAAAAATGTCCCTTATTTATTCAAAGTGATGACCAGGGACATGCAAACCTCCTTTACTTATTCAAGGTGGTGACTCAGAGGCACAAAATCTTATCAGTCTCTTCAAGGTGCTGAACAGAGGGACACACACACTACCCTTTTATTCAAGGTGACCCAGGGACACAAAAAATTTCCCTTATTTATTCAAAGTGATGACCAGGGACATGCAAACCTCCTTTACTTATTCAAGGTGGTGACTCAGAGGCACAAAATCTTATCAGTCTCTTCAAGGTGCTGAACAGAGGGACACACAAACCTGTCCTACATATTCACGGTGGTGACCCAGGACAACAACCAGTACCTGTACTTCTTCAAGGTGGAGATGCAACACATAAACTCCCCCCCCCCCCCACCTCTTCACTTAACACTGGCAACTTATAACTGAGACCAGAACCCAGGTACAACTGACAGTACTGCTCAGATATGACTAACAACAGCCACACACAACTGATAACACAGTTCAGCTAAAACTAACAATAGCCACATACAACTGATAACACAGCCCAGCTAAAACTAACAACAGCTATATACAACTGATAACACAGCCCAGCTAAAACTAACAACAGCTATATACAACTGATAACACAGCCCAGCTAAAACTAACAACAGCCAAATACAACTGATAACACAGCCCAGCTAAAACTAACAACAGCCACACACAACTGATAACACAGCCCAGCTAAAACTAACAACAGCCAAATACAACTGATAACACAGCCCAGCTAAAACTAACAATAGCCACATACAACTGATAACACAGCCCAGCTAAAACTAACAACAGCTATATACAACTGATAACACAGCCCAGCTAAAACTAACAACAGCTATATACAACTGATAACACAGCCCAGCTAAAACTAACAACAGCTTACCTATAGTAAACACTTGCTCTGTCCCCAGTTCGCTGTCCTGACTTTCCCTGTAAAAGTGAAGTTAGAAGATCATAATCTGACCACTAGATGTCAACATCTTCTTCTTATAGTCCATGTTGTACTGGTAGCCATGTCTATCCACAACCTTTTATTTTATGTACTTATCACTCAGTTCTGACACAGATGATCTTCCACACCATGATGCCAAACTGTCCAGCATCTTCTCTCCATCTCCATGTGCCTCTTTTCCCCTCCAACTCTGCTCCTGTCATAATGTACACCAGTTTTCTCCTTCTAATGACATGCCCAAAGAATGTACACTGACTCATACTGATGTGGACAATGAGTTCTCTTCGTGAGTTAAGTTTCTTTCAGGACATCTTCATGACTCTCTTTATCTGTCAAAAGGTTTTACTGATCATTCGTCTATTAAAAAAAAAAAAAACACCTTTGCCGCTTCCAAATAATTTGTCACTAATCGCCTAACTGCTCATGATTCCCTTCTGTATATCAGGATAGGATTTATATAGCTCTTGAGAATTCTCTTACTCCTCTCAATTGAAAAAAGAAAGACTGCATGTATCAACAGTGAAATTAAATTAATTAGGTTTTAAATACGTATAAAAATGTGAACTTTGATGAAAGAAAAGGAATCCCATTGTAAATCCTACCATACAATTGCAGCTGAGATTTTAAATTCACATATAAACATTTAACATTTGACGAAAAGTAACGGCAATCTCATGAGATCCTCACAGGGCTGTAGCTAAAGTTTTAAATACACTTATATTATAAACATTTAAAATTTGATAAAATTTAACAAAACAAAATGTTTCTTTTGAGAGGCTTTGTCCATTTCATCTCAGAGTGTGCCCAACATATTCCTCTATTTTTTCTCTCATAAATGTTGATACCAGCAAGTTGTCCAGATATCTCTCTGATTTCTTCGGCTTTTTGAATTTATCCCATTTAATATTTACCAATATCTTCAAGCATTTGTTTTTTGAATGTCTTAATGTTTGCTCCATGTCTTTTGAAGTTCGCCAGCTTTAAGTGGCACATCTTAAAATTCAAACATCATGCATGGATACGTAAGAAAAGGCATGTGAAGATCCAACAGTGTGGGGAGTTACCTTCATCTGTTTCGGGCAAAAAAAGAGCTGACAGACTCGCTGGCTCTCTGCTAAGAATGTGAGAACTGGAATTAAAGTTCTTAGAATGATATTTTCCGCACGGCAAGTGTTACTTCCCGTCTCATTCATGCCGCGGCTGGTCACACAGGGCGTGTCGTATGTTGTGGGGGTATCAGGTATTCCTTACTTTCAACAATTCAAACGTTCTCTCTTTTCTCATATTTTCACCACTCAATTGTGAGATTACTGGCACATTATGCTACTTGCGCGATCGTTCGTGTGTAGCAAAACTGGACCTTTGTTTTTTATTTCTACTTTCCTAGGCAATCGCTTCTTTCTCTAGGGCTAAAGTCACTGCCAAGGAACGTAGAAATACAAAAACATCTCAGTTTCTATACTCCTGAACCGTCATGCCTGCGGCGCTTCTCCTTGCAGTACTTCTTACTTGTACCCAGGCGCCTGTTGTGCCTCTCAAGACTCGTGACTACACAACCTCCCACAAACATTGAATATGGCTGGCGAACGCCGAACAAAGCCATAACACCTCCCACAACATAGGACAGGCCCTGTGACCAGTCGCAGCATGAATGGGACGGGAAGTAACTCTCGTCGTGTGAACGCAAACGTGAGTTTTTGAAGACTGGCATAGCCATGCATAAGATGCACTCTAGACATAGCTGAAGTCTTGTCAACCAATCTAAAACTGGCACTATTACCTGAGGGATACTGACATAAATGTTGAAGGGGGAATCTGGGCACCTATGGATGTGCCCAGAGTGCCATGAGGATAACCCAAAAATAACCTTAGAAAAATTAAATTGCTTCTTACAAGGTTAATCTGAATCTGTAGCAAACATATGTTATATCATTTCATAGAATAGTCCTATCCATGTGTGACACAACCATTTGCCCAAAACCAAGAATGTCTCAGTTACTCACCTCCTTTCACTTCCTTTCCCATATGCATCTTTTTCATCCTTTCCACCATCATGCTGGGTATGCCACTGCAAAGGCAGTCGACTGATCTGGTGAGAAGCAGTGGTCGGTGTTGCCAGCGAAACTGCTGCTGTGCTCAGCTGAGCCAAGCCTTCTGTGTTGTCAAAGTCATATGGATCTGTACCTTGAGCTGAAAGTGGAATTAATGAGCAAAACTAAGCTGAAAGTATCAGTGAGTTGACCACTGAGCTATCTTTAGATAAAATTATTAATTTAGAGCCACAGAAATTTGAAAACTAAATATGGTACCAATCTGAGTTGCAGAAGAAATCATAAGCCACAGCCGGCTAGTGGAATCACAAGGTCAATCAAATGGAAGTGGAATATGCGATTTAATTATAGAAGACAGCAGAACTGATGAAAATGTTTTAAAGCCAGATCTTTGACCATTATTTTGTGGCACAGTGATATCGATCACAGACGTGAGGCAAAGTTAAAGCCTTTCGTCATGTGTATAAGAAGTTACTCTGCACCTTACCATGGGCGCCAGCTTTCTCTGGGATCGTTTTACGGACACTCTTGCAAGACTCCTGCCACATGTCCCTGTCGTGCGCCACAGATAAGGATTCACCATTGTGACCTGAACCGAGTTGGGCAAGTTGGTGGCCTCTAGATATGTAATGTCCAGTCTGGCTCACATCAGCCCAACCCCAATGCATGGATGAAAACGTCTATCAAAGCTCATTTAAACATGGGTAAAGTCTGCTAGCTAAACACACTGCTAAATGACAACTTTCTGTTAAAACGCCTGTCGAATGGAAAGAACTACTACACTGCTGAGCTTCAGCCCTGTAAGAAGAGATCTGCTCACAGCCTAGATGAGCAACATCTCTTGCAGGTGGTAACTTGCGGAACATCCCTTGCTACATCCCTTGCTGCTGCCTCAATGTTGTTGTGACTGCGTTGAGGTACACAACAACAATCTGCCACTGTCAGTTTGCTGGTTTGGCATAAATCTCTGTCTGATGCATGTCCTAAGGCACAGAAATAATGTCCTGAATGTCCAAATGGAAAAAAAAAATCCTACTACTGGCAGAAAGGTTAGCAGGTCTGTTACCACTGGCCCCACTAGCCACAGCATGTGACTTAAAAGGGGTGCCATGTCGGATACATGAGTTGCCCCTTACTTCCCTACTGTCTTGCTAAGTTTTCAGATGAAATAACGTTAGAGGTGTCCAATGTGTCGAAGAAAAATTTTGTGTGGCCATCGAAGTCCTGGACCTGTGGGCTGCTCCCTGCTGATCTCAGGAGGGCGCAGCCCATAACTGGAAAGCTCAACATAAGGATGTGAGGTTAAGCAGTTAGTTATGTGCAGGACGTGACGGTTCCTTTGATGAGCCTATGACCATAGCATCATGAGTCAGCTTTGCATTTATGGAAGCCTCCTTGGATGGCCGGGAATGCATACGATCTGCCCCGCCTTCCTTTAGGGCGACCTCTACTCAAGTATACCCAGGTTGGGGTCTCCAGAGGCAACACTTGTAGATAAGGGGACAAAGAGAGCGCCACAAAAATAAGGCACAACATGTCCCTGTCCCTCCAAACTATCCAGGAAGTAACCCGGTCAACAAATGCTCCATAAAATTAGATGCGGCAGCCGAAAAGCACAAACATCACAGTTCTGCTATAAACAGACACAACACATTTACATCATTTGGATGAAGGAAAAGAAGAAGAAGAAGCCCATTAATTCTTAAGAGCATGGCTGACCACAAGGATAAATGCTGATGCTTTCCATCATAAATATATATATTGTATCAGTGAGATGCTGGAATTATCTGGAGGTGATCAACTCACATCTGGTCTGTCCACAGCTTTCACATGTGTATACTGCTGTGTGTCCCCGCTAGCATCAAACTGTTTCAATCATGTCTTCTTTCCTTTTCTATAAGTGACCATCAATACTTAAGACTAATTGTCTTGACATTAAGTCATCAAGAAAATGATACTAAACATCAGTTGTAAAATACTGACACTGAAGAACTGTTTCAAGCACAGCTTAAATGTATCAGAATATTGTCTTGGAAGTAAATGAAAACAATGACAACATACCTATAAAGTGCTGGTCTACTTTTAAAACAATATGCTAGTTAGCACCATATACATATTAGATCTGAGCATGAGAAAGAGGTCCTGTACATTTTGTTTATTTTTTATGCAAATGTAATCCAGTATACCTGCAGTTTCGACAACTCCATCAGATGGCATGATTCCAGCTGCTTGAATCAGTTCTGCCAGCAAGGACGAGGTCTTCCCTTCACTGTCTGCTCGACCACGGTGAATAATTGACACAGGCTGTGGATATATTTATTTACAATTATTTGCATGTGTGTGTTGTCTGTCAACTAAAATCTGAAAGCTACAATAAAGTAATGGAAGATGTCTCAAAAATACAAATAAATAATTATTATAAGGTTAGTTGCAGATCCTTTACAGGACGTTGCAGAATCAACCCCAACAGCCCCTGGCTGTTGTGTGGTTTTTCTAGGCAAATCTACATCCAGTAGTTTGCCATTGCTTTCTGGACGGTTGGCTTTCTTGATACCACTGTCGAAACCAACGCAAGGCAAATGGCCCGCAGCTGGGATCGAACCCGGCATCCAGGCATTATGAAGCGTTCGCATTGACTTAGCCACAGAGCCGACAATCATTATAAACAATACAGAAATAAAGAAGACACAAACAATAGATTGCTCAATTTACTGCCTGGCACATTTCGCTGTATTTTATCATGTGCATACTAAAGTAGCGATTACATAACTGAAGCAAATAAATGAATCCTTTATAACTGTAACCAGAGAGTCAGCTAATGGCACAACGCTAAGATTTCTTAAAACCACTGAGATTACCACTGCGCTTAACTTTGTAAACAAAAAGACATGATTTTGACACTGCCTCTGCCCTGGAATAACAGGCAGTTGCGTCTGATTGTTGCTGAATTAGTATTACAGTTTAAAAAATTCACTTATTTTCTTCATTTATGTAAGAAATTGTTACCATAGTATGCACCTGACAGCAAAATACCAGACAATAAATTGTGCACTCTATAGTTTGCATCTTCTTTGTTCAAATAAAGAAATACACAATTTTACTGATGGAAAGGGATGATGAAACTGATGGAAAGGACATAAAGTCAGAATAGCCAGATTAGCACAAACAAGTTGGTTCAGGGCCTATGCTCCCCTGGAATATGAAGGGCAGACAAAGACCGTTAACAGGAAACCAAAATCATTATATTCATTTAACAGGATTCTACAATATACACTGCTACCTCGACCAACAAACCTCATTCGTTCCTGACTGTGGTTCATATTCCATAAAGTCAGTTATCTCGAAACTCAATTTCTCATTACATCTTACGGGAAATCAAGTATATCATAAATTTAATCCCCCAAAAATTCAAATGATAAAAAAGAACACTTTCCTAAATTAAGAAAATACAAGGAAACAGATCATCGGTGAGAAGAAGCATTTCTAGGCAACAAATATTTATTTTGTACACCATTAAACAATTTTATTTTTCAAATCTCTAATTAAGCATGATACATATGTGTGCAGTATAAAAAAAAAATCACCTTCCATCTAATTGTTTTTTTAAAAAATCCTGTCCTCAGTGGCTTCTTTCTGCTTCTTAGACGAGAAAGTTTGAAACTTATCTAACGTTGTCTCCGACAGTTCTTTCATCAAGATACTTATTAATAATAACACTGTCATTGAAAAAAAAACTGGTGGCTCTGGAAACAACAGCTTGAGCTGGATGCCCTGTATTCATTAATTCTTTAAATTCTTCCCAGTGCTGCAAGATTTCTTTATACCACTGATTAGGATTGCTCATGTTTTGTTGCTGTCTTCATTCTCTGAAGACATTTGCTCTTCTCCTCATTCTTTACTTCTTCCTGTTAAGTTGTTCATAACTGTGCTAGCTCTTCAATGGCCAGCTCAATGTTATGCTCCACTACCAGCTCCTCTATGTCTGCTTCATCAACTTCCAAATGCACAATCTTGTTCAGGGAGAAAACTGTATCTTCAATGTCAGTTTTGCTGTCAGGTCCTTCCAGTGCTTAATATGTGCTTTCTCAGACACAATATGTGCAGCCTTCATCGCAGCCACCACTCTCTGTGTTCCAGATAAATATTACATAGTAACAAGTCATACATGCCTGCGCAGTGAATCTAGAATCCATTTTTTTATGTAGAGGTCAAAATGGGATATGAAAAACATTGTTATCTCAAAAAATTGGTACGTAGAGCTGTTCGTAAGTCAACATAACATTATTCTTTAACAAAGTATCAAAAAATTAAGAGTGCAAAATTACAAACACTTAGGTTCGGAAAAATACAAATATCACAATAGTTGCTGAATGCCTAATCTTTGAAAGCTCAGGTGGTTGGGTCACACTTGGGAGATGCAGAGTGGTAGAGTCCCTAAGGACCTCCTCTATAGCGAAATAGATGAATGGAAGATGGTGAGGTTGGCCTCTACTACAATATAAAGCTGTTTGCCAGCAGGACATGAATGATACAAGTATCGAAGTGGATTCATTGAAAACAGGATGCCATGGACTGTGGAGGAGGAAAACCAGGAAGGAAAATAGGAATAAATGAGAACATGGCTACAGGTATGTTTCGAGCTGAGCGATCGAGAAGATGCATGATAAATACAAGTTATGTCCACAATGATCCTGAAATCATGTTTTTTAAATTGTTTCAGGTTTTCCCTAACTTGAGCGAGTCTTGTATGTTGTTGTTGTTGTTATCGATCCAGCGGCGCATGAGCTTTCGCCCTTTGGCCCAATGCCATGTAGTGGAATTTGCATGTTTTCACAAGCTGTTCTTTTTCTCCGTACAAGGTGTTCCACTTGTCTGGTCTCGGAGGGAGTAGCGTTCTTCTTGTCTCACTGAGTTTTGGGCACTCAAAGAGATGGTGTTCAACAGTTTCGTAGGGGTAGTTACATAGCTGGCACTCTGGGGAGTGGTGTGGCTGTATTCTGTTTAGGTGTCCATTGAGTGGAGTATGTTGCGTTCTAAGTCTGATGATGGTGGCCTGGTCCCTTCTTGTTAGATGGTTAATGATGTCATTAGGATCAGGGCCAGACATATGTCTATAAACCTCACTTCCAGTGTCTCCCATGATCCTGAAATCATGTTTTTTAAATTGTTTCAGGTTTTCCCTAACTTGAGCGAGTCTTGTGAGTCATGCTCACCCTGGCATTAGACTGTCATTCCCCTGCATCCATAAAATATAACATTATCATCTGAAGAAACAGAAAGGTGCCAACCCACAAAAAAAAACCACCAACCTGTTTCACTTCTCCACCACCTCCACTGGTGGTGATGATGACCCTCCTCTCCCCACCTCTGCTGGTGCTAGTTGTGGTGATGGAAGGACTAGATGCTGTCAGTACATGTCGACCTTGGGAGTCCTTGTGAACTAGGCCCATGAGTTCCTGTTTTAAAGAAAAAAATCAGTTTTTGTTATCAACTGACATTGGATGAGGATGTCCTTCTGGTGGGAAGTCCTGGCTGTTCATCCACCTCTGGACTTTGGTCTTGTTCAAGAAACTGAGTGTTGCGTGCACATCAGTTTTACAGATGTGGCTTATTTCTATGAAGACAGTTAGTTCCTTGCCTCTCAGGCAGATGCACTCCAACTTCAAAGGAAGACCCAAACTAGTCTACTCCTATGACATGCTTGTTAGGGAGGCAGTTGGTCAATTTTTGTGTTGCCTGCAATGGGGCCCTGGGACCACATGGGAAGGATGAGGATGTTCAATCACTGATACTGTTTATTTCTGCACTAAAGGTATTTTGATTCCTGTGTTTCTTTTCCTTAAGGATGTGAAAAGCATATTTTAGTATAGTCCAGTCTCGATTTTTTGTTTTTAAAAAAAAAGGTACTCGATGGTCTTTATATGTTGTGTTCCATTCCAAAGATTACAGATACAGTACTATATATATATATATATATTTTTATACACACATCTAGTCTTCTTTACTTTTTACTTCTATTCTATGAAGCAAGGAAATGTTTCTTAAGGTACTGATTAACGTCTTTTTTTTAAAAATCTATTCCAAAAGAAAGCCCTTGATAGACTTTCCTTGTCTACCATACGACACAGAAGTACACTGGTACCTTGGTATACATGCTGAATCCATTCCAGATCCTTGGATGTACACCAAACAGTAAGTATACAAAACAAATTTTCTCATTAAAAAATAAAGGGAGAATGATTCATCTGTTCCCATGAAAAGAAAATCCTATTGTTATCAGCATATTATACACTGATAGGGGTTGTATAAAATAAGTTAAACACTGATTAATGTTAAAATACATCAATATAAAAGCAATTAGATGAAATAAACGAAAATGTAACCTCACTTTACCTTGCTGAGAAGATTCAAGTGCCTACTAGGATGGTTCTGAAAAGGGAGGAGGGGAGATATTATTGTTTGGAAGGAAAGTCACCTTCCATTAAAACTTCGGGAATCCGAAATTCTGGTAATTTTTCTCTTTCTTCATTTTCCAGTCTCTTGTCCCTGCCTGGAACAGTATGAGAGAGGCTCACTGTTATGTTTTTAATTCTACTAAAATTCTGTCCAAAATACTTCGGTTCTGCCTTCTACTCAGGACGCTCAGGAAATGTGACATTGTCTGATCATTGCAGACGATGCTATTATGGCTTGTTTGGGCTTTGCTGGGGTGGATTCTCTGCACAGTTTTTGACATCCATTTGGCAAACATTTCCTTAATTAATGAGAGATGTAAACAAGGGTAGCGCAACAGTGCTGTGGTTTATTCCCACTTATACAAGCTATAGTGCAAAAGTTGAATTCCATATAAAAGTTGTATACCAAGAAACACTTTTCACATCTAAGTCGGATGTATACCAAAGTGAACATATTCGCTTTATCCTAAGAAAAGAGGTTTAATGAAATAACATGGGTAAGAATGTGTGAATATGGAATTAGTAATGATGGACGAATGAGAGGAAGAGAACGATGTGTGTATAATCAGTGTGCTACGGAAACAGTTAGCATCTACGCCTTAAGACATTTGCTGCAGGAGATGAAGCATCTATGGGTACGTCCAATGTGCTATGATTTCGATCCTTAAATCAGTAATCATCACAAAGAATTCCAGTAATACAAAGGTCAAAGGTAAATTCCATATAATTCCACTGCACTTTACTGTCTTGATTCAATCCATCTTTCAATCATTAAAAAACTGGAAAAATACTAAGGATATGTCAGCTTTTCAAAACAAAATTAGAATTTTTTTAAAGGATATTAGAGTGGCAAGCCTTCATTGCAAACAACAGTGAGCAATAAAACTAACACAAACAAGAAAATTACATAAAAGTAACTACATAACAACACGTAAATATTATATAAACAAAAGAAACAAAATGTAAATAACAATAATGATCTGGAAAAAAACATCAATCCTGCCACTGGGTCTGAGTCTAGAACTGCTATAATGCTATACAAACTACCAAGCCAAAATGGCTAAATGGAACATGAACGTCTTTACAAATATTCCTACAATTACAAAGCAACAGCAGCAGCACCAATGCTGAATTCAGCTGTAAAGGGCTAGCTTACCTTGTCAATGGCTCCAGGCAGAGATGATGTGATAGTTCTTATATTAGTTCCTCCTTGCCCTAAAGGACTCTGAAAACGTGTGTGCTGCGTCTTCTGTACAACAATCACATTTGGTTTGGACACTGCAAAGAACAAGAATATAAAATTCTGGCTTCTGGGAATGTAAACAGGCTACAAATTCATCATATATTCATCTCAGTGTGTTCAAATCACTTTCTTTTTCAGAGGTGTTTTACTTTCCCAAGACTTGAGATTGGTTCTAAAACCTGATCCTGGACCAGTTCCATGTTACACACACATTATTATACATTTACACTCCCCTGTGGAACAGAGCGGCAACAATAAATTTTTAACTTCACTGTTTCTCTTGTCCCTATAAGAAAAGCAAAGAATCTTTTTTATTTAAATGGTGTGCCAACTACAAAATGAAGGTTGGCTACAGTGTACCAACTGTTCTCTTTGGGAGTTTTACATGGTCAGGCCCCAATCCCTTCCACTGTGTAACTCTCATACCAGTGTTCAAAACTCACAAAACCATGAATAGTTTTTTTTTTTTATTTATTAAACCCTCTGCCTTGGAAACTAAACCCTACAACTCGATAGACATGAAAATGTTGAGTGTGTTCATAACCTCCAAGCAACAGAGCCACACAAGCAATGATGGCTGACACACTAATCTGCCATCATCACCATCATCATGTGCCCTGCCCGGGGGGTGGATGCATTCACATCTCTCCACAGATCTCAGTCTTTGTTGTTCTGAATCAATCCCATTGAGGATATTCCACCATGCCACTGGCTCTTTCACTGTTGATATTTCCAGTCATCAGGATGTTCTATAGTGCCTCTTTTCTCATTTGACCGCAGAAAGCTATAAAGTTGTATATAGTTTTCTAATTTCCTTAGCCACTTTGAAGCAGTCATGATTAGGCACTTTTCCATGGTATCCATAAGATGCATCTCAGAAATCACATCTCCACTTCTTCCAAGTTCTTAATTTGTTCATTTTAATCTACCATGGAAGTTGTCAAAAATGACAAAGGAGGGCTGCCTCTCCAACTGAGAACTGTATGGGTTAGCCAGTCTCTTCTTTGTCTCCTCTGATGACATTCATGGTATGTTACACTGTTACTCATCTTGGCTTCACAAAGGCATTCTGAAGACCATTTATGGACCTATGCTGACAGAAGACAAGAGGTTAGATGAAATGACAAGTGTAAGAATGTGTGAACATTGAATTAGTAATGGATCCAGCAAAGGAATCAGTAAAGATAGAAGATTATTATGGCCTGAAGAGAATGAAGCATCTGTGTGCAACCAGAGGGTCTGACCGGCTCACTACACTCAGAGAAAAGGCAAGACGGACATATAACCAGATTGTGACCGGTACCATCAGTATTAGAGCTCTGAAGATGAGAACGGAGCATAGATGGGAATGCCCTGAGTGCTGTGATATCAATTCTTGACTCAACTCAACTCAATGATGGACGAATGAGAGGAAGAGAACGGCGGGTGTATAATCAGTGTGCTACGGGAACAGTTAGCATCTACGCCTTAAGACATTTGCTGCAGGAGATGAAACATCTATGGGTATGCCCAAAGTGCTTTGATGTCGATTTTTAAATCAGTAATCATCACAAAGGATCCCAGGTAAATTCAATGTCATCAATAACTTTCACCGACATATTAACATACCCTAACAAAGAGCTATTCAATTAAATTTATTCAGGGGCCAAAATTGTGAAAACTGAGATCATTATGTGCCATAGGCTACAGCCTCAGCATAGAAAGATCATTAATACAACTTTCACTAATCCCCAGGCCACTTACTAGGCCTTCGTGGGCCAGATTTGGCTCGCTGGCCACCAGCTGAACAGTCCTGTCCTAATAGTTTAAGTAACAGCAGTGGACAGTAACAGGTTAAAGTAACAAATGAAGTTTTACCTGTTGTACTACCCAGTCCTGACTTCACTGAAGTCAAGTGAAGAGTTTTCGGATTTACAGTAACCACGTTCGTTGCCTTGGTTGTAGTGGCAATCACTCGACCTCCAGGTGTTGTGATGTTGAGAACTTTACCTCCAGAATGAGCTGTGGATTGATGAAATTATATATATTATTAATCTGTAAATATATCATGGTTAGTTCTCTTGGGGCCCTCATAGCCTACTACACTGCGGTCTGAGGTTAAATCCCCAGCTGTGGTGAGATTTTTGTTTTGACCAGTACAGCTCTGGGACAGATCCAATTTAAAAAATGAATAGTACAGAGATCTGTCATGACTGAATTGTTATATTTTAGGATGTATCATATCTTTATTATTTTAACTTCATCCTTCAGACAGGGCATGATGGGGTCTGAGATCATAAGCCAGCTGATGGGCTGGTTTCAAAAGCATCAACTCGGGGCACTTAAAAGATAAAAAGGATATAACACAAATCATTTAAAAATATCATAACACTTAGGTCAACAAATTCATACCAGAAAGAGAAATACAATGAGAATAAATGAAATGATAACCCAATTTTCCTTGGTGAAAACTCAATGAAGTGACAGTATTATGTACATGTGCAGGTAACATTGTAGACTAAGTTGGAGAAAAAGATAGATTTAAACAAAAAAAATATACAGAAGGCAAGAGGAGCCTTATCATATATTAGAAATTTGTGAAACCACAAGAAATTAAAGGTACTATTGAACTTAGAATATTTAATGCCAGTTCAGTAGTTCTGTATAAATCAGAAACATGAAGAACTCAAACAATTACTAATAAACTCTGAGCATAAATTAAACATTCCCTATGAAGAATATAAAGTGAATGATTGTGTGATAGAACAACCAATGTAGGCTTATGAAGAGAATCAAATCCCTGTGAATCAAGAGACTAGAAAAAAGACACAGGTTCTTTATATAATGAACAATTTTTTTTTAAACCTGTTAAAAGAACTAGAAAATTCTTCTTCTAGCGTCCACATGATAAAAGAAATGGAGGGAGACATATTTAGAAAAGAATCCGAAAAGAAAAATAAATAATATGAGAACATAGAGCTGCAAAGAAATGCAAAGGAAAGGGCTGAGCGACATGCTTGAGAGTCTATACTACAACGTGGAGTAAGGAAGAAAGGGTTAAAAAAAACAGCATCTATAAAGTAACTTCCCCAGGTACCCGATCTGGAGAAATGATTGGTGATCATGACTCCCATTTTTCTCTCTTATCTGAGACTCAACTCTTCCCCTTTTTCTTATTGTTTATCCTCTGTAAATTCAGGCAGAAATGTTATGGTCATTTGTCTACTTCTGGACGTAAGACTCATTCCAGAACTTGAGGTTTTACAGATCTGGCTTATTTGTATGCAGACTGTTGGTTGCTAGCTTCTCAAACATACACTCTGACTTCGAAGGAAACACCCCTAATTAGTCTACTTTTACAATATGCTTGTCAGGGGGAGTGGGTATGTTAATTCTTCCCCCCCCCACCCCCACCCCTGGCCTTTATAATGGGGCCCTGCAATCCACACGAAGACAATGCTTTGATAAATTTTATCCTGTTTATATTATTTGTTACCCAGCTAGTCAAATGTATCACCTAAACTGCCCCTATCTTTCTCTGCCTCTCTTTTGCAGCATTTTCTCCCCACATACAACTACACGATATTAACTACCATTATTTGACCTGTATAAGATGAGACTGATCTTGGCAACAGTGTCACTCCTGGGGTGTTGCCAGACGTCGACTGAGCTGTGTTGACCATGACCACAGGAGTCCCTGCACTGCCAGAAATCTGACTGGGCTTTGGAAGAATTTTGCTGGTATTGCTCTGCGTAATTATCTTCATGCCTGTTACGGAAAGAAATGTGAATTGTTTCACCATCTGTTACAGACATAATATTGAATTATTTCCTTTCTTTAACTGTTATATGTGTAAGTGGTGAAGCATAAAACAAAAATGGTTAGCGACTTACAGTAAAAGTAAAGTGAATGGCCCTTGTCCCCATTTTCAAGTGTATTGGGCTATAGAGCTAGACCTATATTTTATAGACCAATCGGAACTCGGTGGGAGATGTGGTCAACATCACGCCAGCCCCTTTACTTCCAAGGACTTTACCTCGTACTCATTTAAGGGTGTGTTGGCCTGGAAACCAAGATCATTTTTCAAAAAAGCCCTGTTTCATCAGGACAGGAACCCGTTACCGTCAGATCTGCAGGTGAGCGTGTAGCCACTGCATCACGGTGGCTCCCAAGTCACAGTGAGTTTTTTAATTATTCTATGGAACAGTTTAGGTTCTTTTGGGGGAGGAGGGTGGGTATTTTTTTTAAATCTCTTTGCCTACTCTTTGTCCCTGTGTATGACTACTCAAGTACCGCCATGGAAAACAGCTCTGCCCAACTGGCTAAACTTCATGAATTAAGTAGCAGTGGCTAACAGAAAATGTCCATCTTGTATTACACAAAATACTGTGACAGTAAACTAGGTGGAAGAATCTATCAAGAAGCTAGCTAGCTAGCTAGCTCTCTCTCTCTCTCTCTCCTTGCGCGCGCACGCACAGACATACACAAAAACATTGGACAGCAGTATCTTATATTCCAGAGGGAACTTAGGTGTGATGCTAAAGGAAAAGGTCTAAAACTGTCCATACTGCTGCTGTCATTGATGAACCTGAGCCAGATAGTGACAATAGTTTTGATATTATAATTAATAATGCAAGTGCCAAAGCTACTGCCAATAATTAAAGTTAGGATGAAGTTGAAGAACATATTTCAATAAGATCCTCCATGTTTGATCAGCTGTGTCCAGAATTTGATTGTTGTGGAATTTGACCTGTCATACAAACAAGATCCAAAGTATTTAAATTAACTGTTTCAAACAAACACTAGCTGATGCATAATAGAGAAGGCATGTGAATTCTTAGAAACAGATATTAGTATTGCTGATCAAGTAAACAAGTAAGGTAAATACAAAACTTCACATGTAAAAAAATCTTCATGTGTGTCCAACTTCCTTGAATGTTATGTCATTTTAATATTTTGTTGTCGTAATACTGATATTTAAATAGTTGAGATGTATTCTATATTAATTTCCCTTTATTTTGATACATTAAATGTAACTATACAGCAAATACTTCTTAAATATTAAAGTACACAAGGTGGGAGAACCGGCGAGAGACGGGGTTTCTTTCAGGCATGAATGAGAGCGACGTTCCGCCAAAGACCTACTATATGATGAAGATGATACAGCCAATATTTTTTCTTTCGTAAGATCTTAGCTTTGACATGACATGTTTCAGTAAAAAAAAAACTCGGCTCAAAATTAATTCCGTCCAAACACCAGAAACAAATTTCATCCTAAAAAAGTTAGGAAATATAGGAACACAAAAGAAAGAAAAAAGAAGATAAGATAAAGGAGGTGAGGAAACAGACACACTGAACAGAAGACCTTTCCTGTCACAGTCAGAGAAAGAAGAACATAGGTTTCAAAACAAAATAGAAAAAAAAAATTTTTTATTATAAATTTAAAAAAGCAATTTCCAAACAAAGTATTTTTTTTTTAAAACCACAGACCTCCTTCTTGCTTGATCTGTATCGTTGGCTTACTCAAAGTCTTCATTTGAAGAGTGCTGGCTCCAGGATATGCAGACGTGACCTGAATGCTAGCTGATGACTGCTGGGACTGGCTCAGCGGATTACCAGCAGCAGAGTTTGGAGATGGTGACACCAGCTGTGGTCCCATGGGTATAACAACTCCTGGCTTCTGTTGAGGCTTAAAGACAAAACAGAGGACTCAAAGGCTGATTGGTTAAGTGGCTATGATTAATGTAATCAATAATCTTTAACTTAAACTTACAGGGAAAACTAACTGCTTGTGTTAGTCGTTAGTCAAAAGTTTCAACATCAATGCAGATGGGTCATGCTATAACTTCTCCACTTCGGTGGCAGCAAAAATCACATTACATGTTCTTCACTGTCCCTTTTGAAAACTAGTGAAAAACTTATCAGCCCCAGCAAAATCTTTAAGCTTGCTTATGCAAAATAAAAATGTCGGATGTGCCAACACGAACAGTCGCAATCAGAATTGCAGCTCACTGAAAAGCCACAAAAGAACACACCATTCTCAATATAAATCGTATTTATTCATGAACTGGTTACATCCTAAAACATGAAGATACACCAAAAATAGTAATAGAAAGCAGATGGGGAGGAGAGAGAAAAGAGAAACACGACAGGGGGACAGGAAGGAGAAAGGTCAGGGAGGAAAGCGAGAGAAGAGCATAGATTTTGAATATATAGAGATGGGGAATGAGAGTAAGATGAAGGAAAGGAGGGAGAGATACAAAACAAGCAGGGAGGGAGAAGAATAAAAAGCAGATAGAGAGAAAAGTGGAGAGTAGCGAAATAAGAGGAGATGAAGACAGATGAGAGGAGAAGGGGGAGATTTGTGCACTTGTGCATGGATAAACACACATATGTATAGTGAGCTCACACACAAGCACACATGCATGTATGCACAAACACACAATATTCTAGGCTAAGCAATAGGGAGAGAAGCCAGTTTAAGGGATGATAATTATTAGCATTAGCAAAACTGAGTGTATTCTAGTCTTTTGTTTAAACCTCCGATTCCAATTTGCTTTATATATAGTGAAAGAAAAACAAAACAAGTCAATAATTTATCCATGCGTAGACTATAAAGTAATACCAGATGGAAGATGTCATACAAGGATACAAAAGAACTGATATATCCAAAGATTTGTTTTCCAGAATAAGCAATGAAAAGTTGCTTAATGAAAAATTATGTGTGGCCAGTTCTTCTGTATATTTGAGAATGTAGGAAGAGATGGGGAATGAGAGTAAGATGAAGGAAAGGAGGGAGAGACACAAAACAAGCATGGAGGGAGAAGAATGAAAAGCAGATAGAGAGAAAAGTGGAGAGTAGCGAAATAAGAGGAGATGAAGACAGATGAGAGGAGAAGGGGGAGAGAAAAAAGAAAATCAGGAGAAAAGGAGGGTAGAGGGAAAGGGGGAAGGAAGTAGATCATGAAAGAGACAGAAAATATAGTAAGGATTAGACAGAAATGGAGAGACAGGAGAGAGA